TTTAGTTATCTTATTGTTAGTGATATGTTAAAAATTTCTTTCGAGAGACATTCTCGTAAATTTACTTCTTGTTCTGAAATACCAAATATGATATGTTTTTCGACATTTTTCTAATTATACACAATACATTTAGTTATACGCGACAATATTTCGCCATAGCTATATCATTATGAAAATATGCACAAATTTTTAATTTACTAGATAGAAAAAGTAATCATTTTTTGTTCTGTCAGATTTCTTCTTGCTATGCATAAATGGCTACGCTTCGTATCTCGTTCTTTCACAGTTTACTTTTCTCCGCGGGCACATGGTTATTTTTGAGAAAGTCATCAACGGAAAGATGAACAGCGACGCAGAAGCCTAACGGCCAGAAAAGTATCAATCTCTTCTTTTCAGCTTCTGCGTTGTTTTTTTTTTTTTTAATTTTAATAAAAGGGCGATCACGTGAATAAACGTTGACCTGTACAAAAAAATTTTGAAATTTAAATATTTATTTTTATCTCGATTTTTACGAATGCTTGTCAGATTGAACTTACGTAAGAACAAACTTTGTCTCGTATATGTTATCTTTTTGATATGATCTCGTGTTGCAGGGAAACTCTTGGCGGATAACGTGATACGGCATTGCGATAAATCGCAGGAAATCGAGACAGGACAGAAGCCCTTTGCTGAATGCAAGTAAGTATCATTTTAAATAAAAAAAACTTTTTTTCGCGAAAAACGCGTGGCATAAATGTAGTATTTTATACGAAAGATAAAAAAAAGGAAGAACATATTGTGCAGAGAAAAACGTTTCTAACGCATCAAAATAAAACGCATAATCTCTCGTTTTCGCCAACCGAAGGTTGGCAGCAGTCAGGAGAAAAATGTATGCATGCAGAATTTCTTATGTATCTTTCTGTATCTCGTTTTGACGGAAATTCGCAGCTTTCGTTCATTCTTTCAAAGAAGTCCGCGGTTCAAAAACGACAAAGAGAAAAAGAGTTGGACGGAAGCTGCGGAGAAAGCAGCGTAAGAGGAATTCCATTTGCGCAACGTATAAGTGCACGTGATGTCATTCTCTTTTATCTTTGCGCGAACGTGTGGAGCTCTCGTCGGCTTGCACTTTGCGAATGAATCGCGGTAAATCTTATGCGCGTATAAGATAGGGTCCTTTTGCATGCACTATCGTTTGCACAGATTGTAAGAAGCAAGAGAAACAAGGTGATGGGAGATATCGCACTTTTGGGAAAGTTCATAATTTTATAACAAATTATAATATTTACGCGTATTTCCAATATGTAATTACAGAAGATTTTGTCATTTTTGTACAACAACCTTCTATCATCTGCGCGCCAACTGACTTTATCTTCCAACACATCCTGTACGTAATACGTGTATAATAATATCATTTGTATTATCAGAGTCACATAACCGATTGTCGTGGGACCGATTTGGCTACTATCCGCGTGTAGTACATACATACATACATCCTCTTCGCTCAACATTCTATTAATAGACACATTCCGCGAATAGCGCTTGTCACGAAATGCGATGACTAATGCATCGACGATGTTATCACATTGTTGCAGCAATCTGAGATTTCGGCCGCGATATCGTCGCGATTTGGAATCTACCGAGAGCGCTCGATCGGACGAACTCACCAGCCGGCTTCTGGCTTGGCGAAGTCGCGACCGTCACCCGATAATATTGCAGGTAAGCGATGCTGCACCTGATCGATGCACGAATCCGGCTGCAAAGATCGACTTGCTCGACAGGTGACGACGTTTAATATGTCGGCCCCATCTGGTTGAAAATTCTGGGTGTTGCGCGTGTACAACTAATTTATTCTTTTACCTTCGCTTTTATTCCATTCGTCGCGTCGTGTCGCACGCCAATCGCCTTAAATCAATCGCTTTAATTTCGAGCTGACAAATATATTTCTGCAAGAAAATTAAAAACATTTCAATTATTAAATTTTAAATTGACAGCAATTTTGTTCAAATAATTCACACATTTCCTTTGTAAATTATTTTTTTTGTAATTGCAAAGTAATGCATTTATATTAAGCTACTATACTACAGCAGTGCATGCATCGTACAGCGCTAACATTAATAACCATAATACGCTGAAGTGACGAACAAGATAATACGTAGCATCCGTACTAATTTGTCTCGGTCCTGACCTGCAGTACATATAATCGCCACTAAATTCCACCTTGTAATTCTAAGTTACACGAAACAAATGTACCCACGTTGATAGATAGCGGAAAAATAAAAACACTTTTATTACATAATTAAAACCCAAGCTATCGATTGGGTCTACTTAGAACTTGATCGGTTGAGCGGTTATTGAGATCTAATAATATCGAGTGCTCGTATAACTCGTCGCGTCGCGTAAAAGAGTCACGGTGCGGTCTCGCTTCGCGTATACTTGGCACAAGACACTACCGTGTCTCTTGATCTTTTAAAGCATCGCAAACTTTGCATAGTGCATAACAAACGCGCAATTTTAAAGATACAATTTTACAGATATAATTATAGGTATAATTCGATTCGTCTAACTAACGCATCACCGATAAGAATCAACCATAAAGAAAGCGATGTTTATTTAATATGTAATTTCATAAAATATTAGCTCATTGAGAAAGAATCTCCGATCTAGCGCCTGTGCTGTTCAATTTTCCTTTTAAATTCTGCTGCAATGAAAGCAGCACTATGCGCGAGCACCCGAGTTCGTTTCTTCATTCGATAAATCCGTCGTGCAGTTTTACTCCGCGTCGTGCCCAATATCCGCTGCATAAAAGTCCAGGTTCGCGCGTTCAAGGTCGCCGGATTATACGCAACCCGTCTGCACACGTGGCTCTGCGCGCGGCGCATTTTTTTCTCTCCCTCCCCTCCCTTCTTCTCTCTCGCGCGAGAGAAACCGAAGCACGATGAAATTACCAAAGGGGGCGGAATTTAATTCGCGAGCATGCGCCACGTCTATGGGGGGAATTATCGGTGGGGTTGCCGCCACCACACACCACCATCACCCCGCTGCTACCGCTGCGTGTTATTGATCAGGGTCCTCTTCGTTCCCACGAAATGGCTAAAATATATCACACCGCGGGGCACGACAGATCGCGCCCCCGTTCCCTGCTGCGTATGCAAAAATTTGTGCTACGTAACTAATTTACGCTTTCGGGATTCTTGCGGGAATATTTCGGGAATTTTTTGACTGCCAAAAAACGATTAGAGAAATGATAATATATTGTACGATATCGGAGATATTATCTACGGAAATATATAATCTACTCTCAGCAGCCGTATTTTGCATAATATAAATTATAGGTACCATTGTATGCACGCAATAGCGATCGAATCGGGAACAGTGCGGATATTAATATCTTTATAGAATTTCTGCGAGTGAGGCGATGTATAACAAGATAAATAAAATGAGACAATCAGAGACGTCGTCTCGTGCATCTCGTGCTTTACAAACTTTTCGATATGTTGCATTAAATTTTCAATATATTGATCTTACAAAATTTAAGTATAAGCTTACGCCAATGCGGATAAACGCAATCTCTGCATACTTTGGTTTTTATTTCGCGGCTAGGAAGTCCCGTGTGTTGCGTATCGCGGTGTAAGTTTATAAAATACGTGACGTTTATCTTTCACACACTCTCGCGCACTACACGCGATATTGTGCAGCAACTTTTTGCAAGCGACTCACAAAGCAGATTATTGACAGTTTTCATCGTCCTATACGCATATCGGCTCACATATCGGAAATGCAATGTACATATTAATCTCTCACACGAATTTCATTAATTACCATTCGGCTCCGGAGTCACTTTCATGTCTCTTCCTCTCTTCCTCTTACATCAATTAGAAACTTTCTCGTCGAAAGGGTGAGATTGTTATCCACCTAACAGCAATGAAGGTTTATTCGGTTAACGGAATGCGTGATCGTTGAAGAGGAGAAGCGGAATCCCGCGGTTTCCTGATTAGATATAGACGCGAAGAGAACCCCTCGACGGTCGTCCGCTATAGAGATAGGAGCGACTAGTGAAAGGAAGGACTCCGGCGATAATCAGGTATATTGAAGAAAAGCTCGTTGATAATCTCCATGAAGAACATGGTAATTTGTTGTAGAACGGAGTGTAAAATCCGCGGAGACACGGTTGATCGGATAATTATAATTTGTCGGCAATTTATTAAGATATTGATGGAAACATTGTACAAGAATGCTTGTGATTACGAGGCTATTGATTAAATTAATCGGTACCTACTTGGGCATCCCTATAATACGATTATTTCGTAGCTGAGAAATGGAGGAAGAATATTTTTAGATTTGTTCTTTCGTTGTTTCAATATGAGATATGCATCGAGATCTGTTTAACATTGTGTAATTAGTACATAGATTACTTGTCCAAGTGTAAATGTTTGAAAAAGCAGAGAAGCAATCTTTTGTACGAAATAAAGTTGAGGCATCTCGAGAGCGATAAATTTCTCATTAAGTTGCGGCAAAGCTCCGAATCGCGATGAGAGATATTCTCCCAGACGGGAGAAGACATAACAAGAAGCATAAATCACAGATTCATGTTCAGACGTATGTACATATGTATACATATATAGTAAGCGGAGCGCCTCGCGAGTTAAGCTCCTCTGAGTTGTTGAGTACTAATAAACAATTTGTCATTTAATCTGGAACTAATCTAGAGACGTCAAGCGTTGGAAAGTGTATTCCCTCGGCGAAGGAAAGACTCGGCGGCGGAGACAGACGTCTTTCTAATTAGATAGTGAGAAGAAAAGATGGTCGTAGACTAGAAAGAGAAAGAGCGAAGGAGGATAGAGAGAGGCGATTACCACGAAGCCGAGCTCGGAGAGACGGACGGAAGCAGGAGCGAGAGCGAGAGAGCGGAGTCAGCGGAGCAAGCCGGCAAGAAAAGGGGGGATAGATCGAGTGAGTCAGCGTCGTCAGCGATAGTGCAGCAGCCCAGACCGAGCCCAGCTGTTTCTCGATCCCCTAACCTACACTAGTTTATTTCAACCGCTCCAACACTCTCCTCTCGTGCAGCGGCCGCTCCGCTGTCCGTGCGCCCCCAGAAGTCAACGCAGCACGCAGTGCAGCCTCGTTAACGGCGAGGAGCTTCTGGACCTTTTTCGCGCTCTAGTTTCCGCTTCATCTCGCGCGCCGACGATGGATCGCCTCGCGACGGAAGAAATCGTTTCACTCGCAATCCGGATGATCCAGTCGATGATGAAATCGGTCGCCACGCCGCGGCTAGTTCTCGATATCTAATCGTTTCAACGCATCTGAAGAGTCGGAGCGAGACACGAGACACGGCCGGCTGATCGTGAGTGTGTGCGCGTCATGTGCGATCGAAGAGTATAAGTATCGGCGACTTTCCTCGATCGGAACTGCCGGTTTCCTTTGTACGCGTTTCTCCTTTCCGTCTCTTCCTGTGGGTCACGAAATCTTCCAACGAAGCCGTCGATTTCCCTTTAATTGCGCTCTACCACGCGTTGAATTGCTTCTCGCGTTGAGTAAAAACTTATCATTATTTATAAAATTGTTCAGACTCGTATTTTTAACTAGATACTCAATGCTAAATATGGCAACGTGGGGTTAATTTATCTAGAACTATTTACTTAGCGCTAAACTATTCCAATAATTGGAATTCATTAGTTCCACTTAGCAATTATTTATCGAAATCTAAACTGCGATTCTACATGAAAAATAGAAGTAGTTTATCAACGTGTATATTTTTCCTGATACGTTTTCCGCATATCTTCTTGCTTCTTTTAAGACGATGAATCGACGAGGAATACCGTTCTTTGCCTTGCGAAGGGCAAAAAGATTAAGACAGAGGATTGATTGAGCACGCATTTCCGGTTAACGCAAAGCGTGTTCCGTCGCAATCGGAAACAAGGAGGGAGTGTATACGCGGCGCGGCGTCGCGCCAGTTCATCATCCGGCGATTCCGGATCCGATCGATCCCGATGGTTATCCGCGTATCGAAGGGAACGCGATAACTGACTTCCGAGGGAAAGCCATTCGCGAAAGAAGCGTGACGCGCGAGTACACGAGTGCCCGTTAACGACACGCACGTGTCGCACAGTCGCGTTACGGCTCTCCACGAGTTTGCGAAATGCACGACGCGACGTGAGACATCGTGCGTGTGGGCCGCGCGAGCGGGCAGCTGCGTATACAACTATAAATGGCAACGGCGAGACGTTGACACGTGCGATATATCATGGGGGTGATGGATCAAACGCGAAGGGGAAGGGAAGTCAAAGTCTTTCGCGATTCGGAGCAGAGCGGTGAACCTCGCGACGGCAAGTGTTCGCGCCGAAGTCTCGGAAACGCGCGCGGCAGATTTTCTCATCTTCGTCTGATCGGAGAAGAGAGAATCGGATAAAACTCCTTCGCCTCTCGCGAGTATGCTCGCTACAATCAACTGCTGTCAGCTGAATGCACGCCGATCATACTGAAATTGAATGTTGTCCCGCGGTTGTCCGCGAAACTCGTGCCAGTTTCTATTCGTATCTTCTAGGATTGTAGCAAGCAACGATTGTGAAGAGTGCACAATATTGAAATAATTCCAAATAACATTTGTCACGTGTCTATGTGATCGTTGCACATATACACACGCGTTCTATGAGAGAATTATATTAATAAAAATCGTGAAAAGTTATTCCACTGTGAATTCCACCTGCCTTCGAATGCGACGTGAAAATGATTAATCACCCCAACTGTTTTGACTGATATATATCTGCCGGATCGAATTGATGAATCATGGTCAAAAAGATGAAAATCTCTATTACAGAATTATTGCACATGTTGAAACGTATTATTCGTTTTCGAAAACGGTGGCATCACGTGAGGACATTTTTCACCCGGACCACGTGATCTTGGAGCTATTGATTATCGCGCGGTGCCGTGTCTCAGGGACGAAGAGAAGATACTCTCCGGCGCGGCGCGCGGTGGCGCGGCACGGCGACGGAAGGACAAGATGCGATGCACTTGATTAGAACGCGCGACTAATTGCACTTGCGGCAACTCGCACGACGCATCGAAGGGTGAAGACGGGAGGAAGAGGAGGGAGGGTGCGGCGTGTCGAGGATCCTTGTGGATCGCGGTGGCGGTGGTGGCGGCTGAAATGCCAGAGGGACATTTTGAAAATCTTTGGTTCAGCGCATGCGTCCCGTGCCCTCGCGACGTCCGATGGTACACGATGGAGCCGTCGTCGCCGTCGCCTCCAAGCCGTTGTCGCTAGAAGAAACGGTCCGCACGGTGCGTGTCCGGGAGGAATTATATACGCACTTCCCAAGTCATCATGGAATTCGACGAATCGGTGCCGATCGGATCGACGAGTAATCAGTGATAATCAGTGTGTTGTCGTCGGCTCTCCTACGGGGGCTACGGGACGAGCAGCCGTCCGCTCTCGTCTCGATAGGATCGATAGCGGGACAGATCTTTCCAGAGAAGAGAGATAGAGAAAGAAAGGAGCGCCACTTGTTCAAGAGAGTGTTCGATCAATTTTTCAATGCGCGTTTCACGTCGATATCGGAGCCGACGGACGATCCTTAAACGAGTGAATGTTTCATGAGACTGAATTCGAGACGCAGCGAGAGATGCCGGGTGAAAATCGCGACCAGCTGTCGAGAAGCGGAGACGCAGGAGGTGAAGGAAGGGGATGCGGTAGCGGCGGAAGTGCTCCAGGACACCGAGAGACCCCGAGAGGCGGCGGCGGCGAGCTAGATCCTCGTAACCGTGGTAAACCAACCGCGACGATGATCCCGCTTCCCCGCACCGGCCAGTTCGCGTCCGCCTCGCAAAATCAGAAGATCGCCAAAACGGAGAAAAATCGACAGAGACTGATTATGGAGAGCCGCGGCACCGTCGCCGCTGCCGTCGACGTCTTCGACAAGGAGCGGAGAATCGGCATACGGGAGGAAGAGACGCAGCAGACGAATTGGCGATTATCAGCTGCCAACTGTTCGGCTAGCGCGCGATTTGCCGAGGATTTCAGCGATTCGCATCGAGGTGAAAAGGTGATTAATCTAAGGCGAAGCGTTTTAACGTCTGAGCGGAACGTGAACTAGGTCGTCGCCATTGAAATGTCAATTCTCAAACGACAGCATCGACGTACGGCGTATATATCTTTTATATATCGATTTATCATCCTAAACATACGTATAGATTTTCGAGACTATCGATCAACGTTTTATGTCGAATAGACGAAAGGTATACGTTTATAATAGCGATAATAGTATAAGCAATGGAATAGAAATTCATCGATATAAACGAGTTCATAATATTATATAATATTAATTTCTAATACTTATATTATTCTGGGACTAATCCTAATATTCAAAGATAAAAAATCTCCTCCTTTGTTTCGATCTTTAAATTTCTCGATTATAAGAAGATTGCAATTCCTCTCTCCACAACAATGTAAAATTTGTCCAACGCTCGCACTTGCCACTTGAGCTCTTCGGACATTCGAATAATTAGGATAATTCGAACGGGCACGGATCTCGGATCTCCTTGCAAACGGGGCGTATCGCGACACCTCCCGAAGCACCAACCGGAAATTTACTTTCGTCGTTCTCGCATCACTGATCGGCATGCTCTGTTTTCTACTTATTTTTCGATATTGAACTCTAAATCGCTTTCCGAAAAGGCTTACCAATTTGGAATTTTTTCGAGTACGTATCTCGTCGGCTTAAATCATTTTATTACACGTATGCATAACTAAAGCATAAGGTTATAATCTCTCTCGTAAGCTCTTTCAGCATATAATGCTCGAAATTATTTACATTGTACATGAGTGACAAAATTTCCTCGGACAAAAATTTCGCGAAAATTTTTTGACAAGTAAAATATATATCCTCCGGAAACGTTGGTAATTTGTAACATGATACGTCCGCTTCGTCACTCGATTTCCCACGATTACAGCCGAGACCGAGATGAGGAGAAACAACGCGGTCACGACTGCGCCTGTGCGAAAAACACGTAACACTTGTCGCAGTTTAGATTTCTCGAAGCGCGAACACGCTTATTTCACGCGGTCTTAGATAACGTTGACGATGACAAAAAGACATCTCCGAGCATGAAAACGCCTGTGAGGCGCTTGCGCGTACTTTATGCGCGTACACAAACCGTTCGTGACTAAAATACACTTCCTCGCTTGGCCGTGTCAGAAATGAAATTCGTGGCCCACAGAACTGCTTTTCGTGCATCGCCTGTTCCAAAAGCGATAATTATGTCGTTACTTCTTAAGGCTCCTGGGTAGTCACCGCGGCCATATTGAATTTCTTGCTATCGATGCGAGAAATTACCCTATTCTATGTTGCGGTATTTTCCAAAATAAAAAGATTTCAATAAAAAATCACTATAGATCGTTTCAGCACACTTCTAAAATTTAACGGATACTATCCTTTTCCCTCGACAATAAACAAACAGCCATAAAACGAAGCCTAAACATACGGAAAAACAAGCCATTTGACGAGTGGAGAATGTTCCTTCCGCATATGTATTTCTTGCAAATCTTACCATACGTTAAATTTCACGAGTTTCACGAATACGTTAAACGTTATACCACAAGTACAGAGCGAATAATAAAGAAATTTAACGCAACGCAAAATAGGTTGTCAACATGTCACAAGACAGAATTCTCCATTGGAAAGAGTGAGAGGAGAGAGTTCTTATTTCTGCCCCGACGGTACAGCGCCACCGTCAACGCAGAGTTCTCGGCTCAGGGATCAGGAGCCTTAAGATAACAATTAAACTATAAAAATTTGTATGTTTAATGACTTATCTCGAATTATTATTTTTTCCTCGAAAATTATATCGACTCCGTATGGATAATTCTCGCGATTCACAATTGATAATGACACAGTAGCTTTTCTGGGTATCATTAATATATAATATGATACAGTTTACACGAGAACACGATAATAACTTTAGGCCAGATGAAATAAATAATAATAATATACAGGAGCGCACAGCATTATCCGTAAAAACGGCTATCTATCTGTTCCACGATCGCAATTGAGTCACTTCAATTACGACGTCATTAAACTGTCGGCCCTCTTATCTCGACGCATCACCCGCATCGTTTCGCAACGATGCGCGGTTCAATAAGCCGAATTCCGCTTACCTGTGCTGTACGCGTAAATACGTAAGACACTTACAGGTAAATCGAGATGATTAAGCGGCTTATTTCGCTATCCGTCAGTTATCTGGACATGCCTCGCGATTCCCGATGGGCGCAGCGCGAATCATTATTTGCATCAGACGTGCGTATCTTTCCGATCACGAATCGCAAGTTTTCCGGTCGACGGTTAATGAGTTCGCGGGAGAAAGGAAACGAACGATGCCGCCGTGAAAGCTATAAGTGTTCTCGCCTTGTCCTGTTAGTTTCCGATCTTTACGATTTAGCAGGTCGTTCGATCGCATCACATGATCGTCTAGTTGTGGAGAACAGAGATTATTTTTCCAATGCGCAAAGTACACATCGTCCCGAAAGCAGGCGGCAAGCGTGGCAAACGTGATAGACGAGCGGTTACCGAGAGCTATAAATTTACCAGCTTTATACCCGTAATATAATTACTATCGACAGTCTCGTTAGTCTAGTTTAGTTATTGTATCTTAAGCGTATTACCGTTTCGGAAAATCACGCGTGATTTTATCGGATATTTGAACGTCGGAGAAAATGGTGAAAGTGTCTATTTGCGAATAATAGCGAAGATGCGTCACTTTTGCTTATTTACGTTCAACGCACTCTAATTACGCTTACGAAGAGACGCAGATTCAAGGGACTACTTTCGTTTTTACTTACCATTTAATTTTCATGCAAGATCTAGTGGAAATACCATCGAAATTATCATTGATTTAAACTGGATCCAAGTAGCAACCTATAGCAATTTCTGCAGCTCTAAATAGTTTAAATTAAAAAAAAAGATCCGAGACTGGACGCGGTACTGTACTATTGGTAGTCTAAAGTTTCGACATTGGATTATCAGATCGAAGTCCAGTTTTTGTTACCTCTGTAGTACATAGGAATGCATGAGTCACGCGTAAACTTAAGATAACATCTACAAAATTAATTTCTCAACGTCTTTTTGATTAAAATAACCTGGATAGCTAAATCTGAGAACAGATTTTTAAAGTGTCTGCTACAAATTTTGTCGATAGAATACCAACAGAAATATATAACAGAATCTGCTAACAGAATATAATAAGTAGATTGATTGCAGAAATTGACAGAATCTGCCGTTTCGTAAAATTTATATATTATATGATATATTCCATTTAAATGTTTACGAAATAACAGATTCTGTTTGGTGTTTGCCGGCAATCTTCTGTTAGATTATATCGGCAAGCACTGTCGACAAAACACGAGTTTAATGCGGACACATTAATACCGGATCTGTTGCGATATCTGAGCAAATCTGCTGCTAATCTGTTATTATACTGCGGCCAGTTTGCTTACTGACAACTTTGATAAATATTTTTAGTAATATTATTGTGTAGCATGCACGCGCACCCCCACACATGTACACATTGATATGTACGATTGCTTGTCTTATACATATAATATGTATATATTACGACTATACGTCAATGGTCTTTGGATTAAATGTCTTTTGCATGCGTTGAAGCATCTCTGGCAGTTGGCGTGGAATGCAAAACTGCAGCGCGATAAGGGCTATCGCACACAAAATTGCATAGGCTGCATAAGCATAACATAAGACCGCTGAACCAATGAACATCTTATGTAAATTGATATGGCGACTTTATATGCTGGATGCTCATTGGTTTAGCGGTCTTATGCTACGCTTATGCTACGCTATGCATTTTGTGTGCGATGGCCTTAACCCTTAACTAGCACACGTCCGCGATCGAACGTTATCTGCACACGGGGTGTTGTACACTTTGAACGTTGGATACGGCGAAATAATGGAGGCTCCAATAGGCTTGAAAAAAATCAAGTACATACATTAAACACTGGAAAATGATACCCATTAGCCTAAACTATGAAATTTTTAGTTTTGAGGCTTCAAAAAAATTCTTGAAATAAATTTGTTATGAAAAAAAAATTGTTATTAATTAATTTTATGCGAAATTCATAGATTAACCGACCGAGAAAGATGCCTAAACTTGACGAAATTCGTTTTGGGGTGTTTGACACCCCCGCGTGCTAGTTAAGGGTTAAAACATTTCGCCCCCGCAAGCAATCATCAGGATGAGCAGCGCGCTAATTAACGGTGCACGGTGTACCGCGTGCAGCGCCAATGCACGTATCGCGGGTCATCGCTGTTTCACGATTTATTATTTATACGAAAGTTGTTCTAATGATAAATTACAATCGGGAATTCCTCGTTACCTTGACACAATAGAGCGATATATTTATAAAGCGTTACCTTGACCTTGACTTTAAGATTGAAATATGGCACAAACATACAGTGCATTTTAAATACATCCTATATTAGCACTTCTATATGCTGAAGGAACTAAATAACGATTTCGATCATTATTGCGCTTGCACACTTTTACTCAACGGGAGAAGAGGAGATTGTGCGCGAACGATACAAGCCAATCGAAATCAAAACGATGCGTTAAATCAAACGATTTATTGGTGAATAAACCTGTCAAGACCAAGTCACTTACGTACGCGCGTGCCGGATGCGTTTAATTGCATTGCGCTACAGCTTAAGGTGATCCTAAAGCTGTCTGTAATACTCGTTTTTAACAATATTTCCTTTGTATAAAAATTCTACAACTTGATGTTACAAAATGAGGGTGCAGGTCCATTCAGTAGACATCAAAGACTATCATACCGTTTGTAGAATTAGGCTGAGACTCCAAACAAAAAAATTAAACGAAAAGTACGATAATGTACGTACATGTTACGTTCACGTAATCGTACTTTTCGTTTAACTTTTTTGTTTGGAGTCTCAGCCTAATTCTACAAACGGTATGATATTCCTTTTGATGTCTACTGAATGGACCTGCACCCTCATTTTGTAACATCAAGTTGTAGAATTTTTATACGAAGCAAATATTGTTAAAAACGAGTGTAGGTATTACAGACAGCTTTAGGATCACCAAGTATGATAATGCTAATCTCCTTCCATTTCTACCATTCGCCATTTCTCAAATAACAGAAAGACTCCACCGATTTATATGTACCTAATATATTAATTAATTTCTGGCATTGATCCTTTTTTTCATGGAGCTTCGAATTTCAGGAATGATCAGAAAAATCTCTTTTCCTCTTATATGCTCACTATATTATGGTTCACCATCGTTTTCGCTTCCGCGCTGATGCGCATATTCACCTTTTTCTCTTTTTTTTCCAGGAGAACGCGGAATCCCGCCGGGATAGACTGCGCGCGACGGAGGGTCGCGTGTCGTTGTGCGGCTCGTCGGCGGTAGCGGCGGCGACGGCGACGGCGACGGCGGCGGGTATTGGGGTGGAAGGCGTCGCCGGCGCGTGGAGCGCACAGAGAGGACGGCAGTCGCCGCCGCCACCCCTGGCATCGCGCAGGCTGGACTCGGCCTCTGACGCCGCAGCAGCGTCGTTCAACCCCGTCGCCGCCGCCGCCGCCGCCACGCAGAGATGCGCCGCTGCGAAGGGCGCCGCCGCCGTCGATGCCGCAGCGCCGAGGCCGCCGCGTATTTATCTGGATTCTCCTCTCGTCGCTGAGACCAGCAAAGAGGATGCTATGGAGCCGGAGACCAAGGAGGAGGACGAACGACGCTCGTCAACGCCGAGTCCCGAGGTAGCACCTTTTTCGTCTGTTATCGGAGCACGATCCTTTTTTGTGTGTGACAGTGTGTACGTAAAGTATTCCGAGTATATTTGTATTCGTATGTAAGTGTTTTGAATTTATTCGTTGGTGAAGAGTTTTTTAAGGGTGAAGCTCGTTGTCGTGACGCGACGTGACGTTAGTGTTTGTTATGCATCATTTCGAATTGTATAGCTAGAATAGTTTACGTGGTATATTGTTTGTTACATCAATATTAATCCATTGTTGTTGGACCAGCAATGCACCATTAGTGTGCTTAAGACGAAGTGTTATCCTTTTTAAATTATTAAATTGTTTCGTTTAGACTTTGCTAGTCCCGCAACATTTATTTATAAATTAAATGAGATCTAAATTTCAATTATAGAACAATTAAGATTCATGCTAAACATAGAACGTCTTCAATCGTTTAGAACCAAAAGAATGATAGCAAAAGTCAATGATAGCATCATAAGCGTTCAGTCGGATAAAGTTAATTTTTCAGTTTAATTTTCCCCGTACGTATTTCGCACACGCGAATGTTATCATATTTCCGAATATAATTTCAATGACAAGAAATTAGAACTGCGTCAAATCGCAATGTAATTTTTCTTGAGGTCGCGCGTGTTCTTTTTTTTCTGACAAAAGTAAGTCTCCATGAGAGAAACAAAGGTTGAAAACCACTGTCATACGAATTGCCTTATGCTCGTGGCGCACGAGTATATACACCTCCACTAACGTATCCCGTATTGATTTTACGGGGAGCCCTCGACTTTCGTCTCTGTCTCACCACTGTCATCCACCGGCGTTCTCTTCTCTTTCGTTCGTTTTCCCTCTTGGCGCGCATATACACGCATTTCGTCTCTCCCTCCCGAGTCTCGGCGGTCGCTCCGTCCTTTCTCTTTCGCTGGGCCTAGCCCTTTAAGTCGTCACCCTCCGCGATGCGTCTGTATTGCATCGCTTCCCTATTCATCCGCACTTGCGCACGTGTTGAAAATTTCAAGCTGTAACTGCGATGCGGCACGTTTCCTCTTGTATATGTTATTATCCAGCGCAGAGAGAATAGACGATTCGCAGATGTAAAAAAAATCTTGTTTTGAATCGTGGACGTTTGAGCGAAGCTAAGATGTCGATAAATGAAATTATTTTGCGGTTGAAATTAACGAATAATATTTTTTTATATCATATACACGCCAGTAAATATTTCGAGAAGAACCATCATCGATATATCAACATAAAATAGCTTTATCGTATTGTTTTATCGATCTTAAAGATACAGAAACCGTCGCGAAAGAAAAGATCGCGTTGATGAAGTCGCAAAAAAATCTATTCTTGCGCGCGATATGAGATCAGAAATCGAGAGGAAAAATCTTTCATGTTATAGTTCTACCTGAGGAGGAGTAAACATTACAATGAGGATGGCAGCAGCGAGGAAGAAGCTAAGCAGGATAGTGTTTTTCTGCCTAGCCACAGGCTACCATCTTCGTATCGCGGAACGTGGCCCATCAGAAGAGATGTATGGGCTAATCAACAGATTGGCTTTCCGGCTCAGCAGAGCACATCACTCGCTACACACAATGTAAGTTGAACGATTATAACGGAGTATTGTGATTCATGCCGTTTCTCGTGGCATACAGGGTGTCGCGAAACCACCGCCTGTTTTTTTGATGATTAAAAGGACATCCGGTAGTTTTGGGAGAACAATGGTTCTCAAACACTCGACGTATGTAGATCTCAAATAACGCCGGACTTGAAAAGGGCATTCCAATTTAAAGAGCAATCTAAAGAAATGTCTGAGAAATCGGGACATCTCTCTAGATATTTGTTTGCGCGTTATCTGGACAAATGAAAACATTGCATGAAAATCTATGTCCGCACGTAGGATGTGGCCAGCGTGATGAGTTTCTCATCGTCGTCGAACTCCGCGGTTCTCGGGGCTAACTCCGCGGAGCTGCAGGGCCATCGACGATTAGGTGCCAAGGTAGACGTGGTGTACAATCTCCTGGGTATGCTCGAGAAGAACGGCCGGGATGATATGAGCACGACTCTGCTCTCTATGAGCACCTCTATAGACAGCTGCTTAGTGATGAGACAATCCGGATGCCTGCCATTACTGGTACAACTGATCCATGCGCCCGGACAGAGTCCTGACACTCGAGACAGAGCCATGCAGGCGTTGCACAACGTGGTGCACGCCAAGAGCGACGAAAGAGCCGGTCGCCGGGAGGCGCGGGTGCTTCGATTCCTCGAGCAGCTGCGTGACTATTGTCAGAGTCTGAGGATGTCCCTGGAACGGGATCAGTCAGCGGATGACCTCGAGAGGGGACATCCCGCGGCGACAATAGCCGCGCTTATGAAATTATCCTTCGACGAGGCCCATCGCCACGCGATGTGTCAGCTGGGCGGCCTCCACGCGGTCGCGGAACTCATCGAGATGGATCACTTGGCCCATGGCAGCGAGAGCGACGATCAGAACTGCATCACGTTAAGACGGTACGCGGGAATGGCGTTGACCAACTTGACCTTCGGTGACGGCAATAATAAAGCGCTGCTCTGCTCCTTCAAAGAATTCATGAAGGCGTTAGTTTCACAACTGAAAAGTCCGAGCGACGATCTCAGGCAAGTAACGGCCAGCGTCCTGAGGAATTTGTCCTGGCGCGCCGACAGCAGCAGCAAGCAGACTCTGAGAGAAGTGGGTGCGGTGACAGGCTTGATGAAAGCCGCTATGGAAGGTCGCAAGGAATCCACCCTCAAATCAATCCTGTCCGCTCTGTGGAACTTGTCGGCTCACTGCAGCACGAACAAAGTGGATATCTGTGCCGTGGACGGCGCGCTGGCCTTTCTCGTGGACATGCTAAGTTACAAGGCGCCATCTAAGACGCTTGCGATCGTCGAAAACGCCGGCGGTATTCTGAGAAATGTATCGAGCCACGTAGCGGTGCGAGAGGATTATCGAGCTACCGTGAGAGAGAGAGGCTGTTTGCAAGTTCTCCTACAGCAGCTGAGATCACCCAGTCTGACGGTGGTCAGCAATGCCTGCGGAGCACTCTGGAACCTGTCCGCGCGGTGTCCTCAGGATCAACGTCTTCTTTGGGACCTAGGGGCCGTGCCGATGCTGCGTAGTCTCGTTCATTCCAAGCATAAAATGATCTCAATGGGTTCTAGCGCGGCCTTGAAGAATCTATTGAGTGCCAGACCCGGCTGCAACAATCTCGTCCACTTGGACTCCACCGCTCGCGGACTGGGGCTGTCGACCTTGCCGAGCCTGGTTGCCCGCAGGCAACGGGCTCTGGAGCAGGAGATTGATCAGAATCTGGCCGAAACGTGCGACAATATCGAACCGAGCACGTCGCCGACTAACAAAGACGACAAATTCACATTCAAGCTCGATCACAGTCTCCTCGGCATCAGTGCTCATGGCCTGCGTTCTTATCAGTTGCACAGTCAACCCAGCACATCCACCGCCAAATGCAACGGAGTCGCCAGGAGTGAGAGTAGAGACTCGATGCGTTCTGTGACAAGTACGCATTCCGACACGATGTTTGAACGAATAAATCGTCATGTTCTGAACGGGATATCGCCTACCGACTCGCAGATCAAACAACAATCCTCATCGTTGCATTCCACTATCGGATTCGGTAATAACGGCGTATGTAGCGACACGAAAGTCACCTCCTCCGAAAGGAAATATACCTTGCGTTACAAAAATGCAATACCGGAACAATTAGGACCGTCCGACGTTTTCGATATAAACGAGCTGAGATGCACAAATTCTACCATATCATGGGCTGCAGTGCCTAATCAAGAACCCTCTCAAACCTCGTTGCACTCTTCCATCGAGAACAACATGTCTCTGATCGATCAGAGCGTGTCATCCTCGTCTAAGGCTGGTAGCCAGTCTAGCGTCTCCGAAGAGGTCGAAGCGACTGTTCGCGTTAAATCGGATTATCGACGAACAACCGCAAACACGACCGTCGATAGTTCGAATCCGACCTCCTATTTATCTGACATTTCTCCTATAAAAGAAAGTGCGAGTAAGGTCCTTTTGCGTCATCATGATATTGATACTGCCCTAAACAGTATTCAGAAAACAATATCACCTGCAACGATTGTTCCCAGTCCGGACGATAATTTATTCGGCAATTACGCCGAAACGGATTTGGATCAACCAACCGACTATAGTCTGCGCTACGGCGAGCAAACTATAGACGACGAGAAACAACATTCCGATTTCTTTTCGGGCAATGGTCAAGGACTCCTGCATGAGGACACAGTCAGAACTTACTACACAGAGGGAACACCACGCGAGACGTCCCTGAACTCGTCCAGGGCCACTTCCGCTTCCGATCTACAGGACGATAGCCGTATAAGGAGCTCATCGAAGAAATTACCGGAACGATATAAGGCGAGGCATGTGGAGGACACCAGTGAATGCAAAGCATTGTCCTTGACAGACGTACCAAAACTGAACGACTTTACCGAATCTGAAACGGATTTGAATTTACGAGACGTGACACATCTTACGGACGATGAGAGCGCGAATCGTTCGTTACCGTACCTTGAGGAAAATTTGGGCAGCAAGCATCTCAAAGGCAATCGAGAAGACGCAAGCATGCAAAGTCATTCAAGGTAATTATGCTTTTTAATTAATCATAATATTTCATGTTTTATATATAGATTCCATCAAAGCATTTGAGTAATGAATTGTTATATTTAATTGGAATATTTTAATTGGAATATTTTTTAACACATAATTATTTGCATATTTGCGTAGTGTAAGAACGACGCCAATTTCGATGGTATTAGGAAATTCTGAATATAATGACGATCATGATGGGGAGTCCAGCTCTAGGATTAATAGTCAAGGTAATCTAAAACATTTTATTTAGCTCAAGCGTTTCGTATAACTTAGATAGACTTTTTCACAAATAACATAAATTTGCAGACTCTAAGTCAAATACGTGCAAAATAAATACAAATTTACCAGCGAGTGACATTGAACTTTCATCTAACAGCACTGGTTTAAAGACTTCTAATAACGATTCAGGATGTAAGTATTATACTGTATTCCGCGAGAACTGTGGAAAATTAGTCTGTAATGATTCAGTAAACACAAACAATTTTTTGTGACCTATATATAGATCAAGTTAGCGACGGAGACGAGGATGACGAGGATTTATTAGCCGCTTGTATTAACATTGGAATGCAAAATAATCGGTAAAATATTAATAATCATTGTGGAAATTACGTTATTCGCTATTTTACAATTTTCATAGAATTATTTTATTGTATTTCGTAGGCATAGACATTCCTTCGTAGGAAATAATCTCGAAAAACTTCCTCGATCAGAAACTAATCTGACTCGATATCAAACTAATCTTGCTTTGGATCAAGTAGAGCATAAAGGAACTGTAGTGCCCAATAGTTCATTGTTTAATATAAAATATGCAGAATCTCATGGAACCACAGCTGAAAACGTTTTGACAAAGGAAAATAGAAAAGATGAGAAGGATAATAACGAAAAACTATCTAAAAGAAATATTCAGCTAGAAACGATCACGGTAAGAATATTTTAGAATGATTTTTTAATATTAATTTTATAACAATCTATATCTTATATAATATCTATTTTAATTATATTTTTAAAAGGTAATATTTTGTTCATAGGCAACAACAAACGTGAATGACAAATACACGCATAATGAGAAATCAAGTAACATTATGGCTATGAAAACAGTAAATGATAATAATCACAGCAATAATTTCTCAGAAGGGGCAATATCTGTATTACAGAAATCTAATGTATCCTTAGATAAAAACATTTCTAATGATTTTATCGTAACTGATGAATGCAGCACAGATCCAAAGGGCTCCATTAGAGTAGAAGCAATAACTGATGTTCGGCTTACGGATATATCGTCTATGAAGCAATCAAAAGATTCCGAAAGTAGCGAGTCGATCGACTCAGTCGAGCAGTCCGAACATGCGCTTTTAGAACTATGCATTCAACCCGGTATAAAGTCTGAAGGCAATATCGCTTTCAACCAAAGTAACGCAGATTACGTTAAGTCGCAGCTAGAGTTATATAACAAACAATTAGACTTCATAAAAGGAAGAAATAACGATGAAACCGAGATTGACGGTAACATGAATGGAAAACCGGAAGCAACCTTCGAAATCGTGAGGACCTCGGATGTTTTGCATCGTGACAGCGCGGAGAAGCATATAAAAGAAGAGACATATAGACGGCAGAGAGATCCCGATGCTATGATCGCTTCGTTAGATCGATTGACAGCAACGTTGGTTCAGCAAACTGAAGCGATACGTGAACGAGACTCTGGTACGATGAAGCAAAGTCTGACGTGCGACACGTGGAATGAGGATTCGCCCAATGACGTTTCCTTCCCCAGTATCAGCATGAGTGCACCGTTAGTCGCTTCGTTCAACAGCGATGCGCAGGAAGATCAGCGTACGACCATATCGGAGAATAACGAGCAGATCAACATGACAGAGTCGAAAATCATCCAGCGCGAGGCTATCAAGCTAGCGGAAGCGGTGGATGCAGAGGCGAACAATCAGAATGAGCTCGAAACAACGAATCTGACGATTATTGACCTCGAAGCGATCAAACCGCCGTCTTCGATGGGAAGTTTACTTTCATTGACGGCAAGCTACGCTGGCACTGCTGACAACACTGCTGAAACATTCATTAACCGGGACAGATGTTATTCCACGTCGTTGCCACCGGCACCGATGAGAAGTTCCAACGATCCTCGCAACGTGCGGAAAAAGTCTTTGCCGATCGGCGTAGTAGCTAAGCGAGCCCTGGGCCAAAACCAGAGTCACACGACTAGTTTGGAAAATTTACTAAACGAATGCACCAGCACGCACTTGGAAAACGTCAAACCACCGTCCATGATGGATGAACTGCCGGATGTAGGTGATATGGAGAACAGCATGTTGAGTGTGGCTAGCATCACGTCGGAGATCGCGGATTCGAAGGAGCAAGATTCGCACAGTTTAACCGGCAGCGACCCAGTGGTGTTCGAGATGCTGAAGCCGGTCGCAAATGTACTGTCTATGACATGCATGCGTTATGTTGAGGGTATGCAGAGTAGCGCGAGTAACAGTCTGAGCGAATGCTTGGAGAATATCAATCCACCGTCCTTGTTCAACGAGGTGACTGAGATGGATGAGTCCACCATGGAGGCGACTACCGACACCATGTGCAGTGACACCCTGTGCATAGATATGGATTTACATACCGATGAAGCAGTGCACTCGATCGTGGCAGAAGTGATCGACGAAGCGGAGAACGATACCGATGAGGCGGCCACTCCAATCTCGTCCGAGTATTGCGTCAGTAGCTCAGCGGAATCGACGCCGAAGAGGCGACCGCACTCGAGGAGCTACTTGACCCCGAAGCAAAAACGAAACTTGGCGAAAGAGAGGTACAAGACATATACCATTGCCGCAGAGATTGTCAAGAAAGAAGAGGAAGAACGCCGGAGGCAAGACGGTATTATCAACGATGCCGTGGGTGGTAGAATTTCACGCGGAAAGTGTTCTCCCTTCTCAAAATTGACACCAAAGCAACGCAGACAAGAGAATAGAGCGAGATTCCAGACGCAAGTGCTGGAGAATCCATTCCCGGATCTGAATGTAGCCCAAACTAAGGATGTAGCGGCGCACAAGATGACCATTGAAGATACTGTCGAGAAACAGGAATCTACGTCCTCCATCAAATCCTCGATCCCTACGCTCACAAAGCTGCCTATGTGCAAGACTGTGAGAAGAAAACGCGGGGATTCGCAGGAGAACAAGGAGAGATATCGCACAAGGACGTTGAACGATTCGGAAACTGTCTTCAAGGAGAGAAATCCTGCTTTGAGCATCGGCATGACGGAAGAGGGACAAGCAAGCGCGCAAGGATACGCGCGGGAAGAAATTCAAAACATGCTACAACAAAATGCCACCATTGTGCTGAACACTCTGAACGAGTCAAGTAAAGCTAATGATTCGACTGGAGACGACATTCTGCGTTGCGAGACCATCACTTTGGCGTCGAATGATCCTGAGTCAGATCGTAATCTAAGAATGTGTCTCATTAACGGGCTTTCAAAGAAGCTGATAGGTACGCAATACGTTAACAACGCCCAAACTTCCACGACAAACATTGACAGTGAGGAATTAGAAGGTGAACACGTAGAAGTTACTTACAAGAATCTGGGCTCGACGCACCCAGCTGATTCAAGCAGCGACGAAGAGTCCAATTGCGCCGATGAGGGACAAGAACCCAGGGAGACGAAAAGGCCGCGGATAATCAAACCGGGAATGCCAGGTCGAGATCCGAGCGCGGATTCCAACGGGACGGATAAATCTGAGCCGGAAAGCCCGAAGGCTATTCGAGGACGAAGAAAGGCGCTCTACTCTAACCCAATAACGCGAAAGCCGACTCCGCAATCTTCGCCGTTGAAGCAAATGAACCCTGTCAGCGGGATACCGATAGGTCGCAGCAACACTTCGCCCATTGTTAGAGCTACTAGAGCCACCACATTGCGACAGAGTAACAATAGTACGACGATTGCTGCGAAAGACTCTCCAAAGTCTAACACAAGCCCGAAGAGGATATCACCTTCCGTGGATGCAGAGAAGAAGACACGAAATTTAACTGTGTCCAAGAGAGCCTCCGTACCTCAAAAGGGATCTATGTTGACTTTCACGAAATCCACTAAGCGTCACAGTACACCCTCAGCTTGCTCATCTAACTATCAGAACGACAGCAGACCGCCAGAGGTCCCGATTAAGCTGTTGGAGCGTCAAGGAACTTTTACGAAGGATGAGCCGGAGGTGGAGAATGCCCCGACGGTGCATTCTACGTCCGCTTCTCCGATAAAGACCAAGATCGCCAAACCGATCAAAGGTGCTTCGTCAAAAATATATCCTGCAGCGGGAAAATCCAAAATCTCCGTGAAAACACATCAAGAGTATCAGCCAAAAATGATGACGGCCAACAGCTCCGAAAAGATGCAACCGTCTAAAGGATTATTAATGCTGTCGAAGAAAATATCATCGGAAAAAATAGGCGTGCCAACGAAAGTCCTTAACGGTAACGCGCTCCAGAACGATAAGACCGTTCGGAGGGTCGATCCACTGGGACAACGATCTAACAGCAACTCCAGCATAGTCTCTACGTCGTCTATGAGCGTACAAAATCGTAAGTTGACGAAGGAGGCAACGAGTAAGATTGCGAGTCTTTGGAAAAAGGTCGAGGAGAGCAAGAATAGGCAGCGTTTCGAAAAGCCGGATACCAGGCAATGGATAAGGCCCACCAATAGCGCCACCGAAGTAGACACTGCAACCGCAGCTGTCACGTTCGATAACCCGCCGGCGTACAGACTGTTCCGCAGTTCCACGTTCGAGGGGATTTCTCAGGAGGACAGCAGCAACGGTGATATGTTGCCATACAAATCCAAATCCAACCGACCGCCGGTTTTAAGCACACAGGTTGGACTTGGCGGATCCAAATACAGGAACTCCTGCGACTTGACGGGCATGAATGCCCACGAGGCACCTTGCAAAATCCCGGTGAAATCCTCCGAGACGTACAAGCGGGAGATGACGCAGTTGGGTGATATCCTGGTGACCATGAGGAAACAACCGAGCGTCGATCTCGCGGCGGAAGTGGATCCCACCAAGAGAATATCCAGGCTTGGTTCCTTCATCCGCGTGGACCCAACGATGGCAGCAGTGGAGAACAGCGGTAGCGGCATGCGAACGGCAGCTTCGGCGATCGTACCGCCCTTCAATTACAATCCAAAGCCAGACATTCCATTGCAAGCGGCCAAAACCAAATCGGACGAGGATCAGGGTAAATTCGAGACGACGGATTGCCACGCGGAAATAGCCACGGGGTCCACTCGGGTAACGACGGTATAGGGAGACGAATCCTCTAAATAAAGCGTGAATAAGTTCTGTAATAATCGTCTCCTCTTCGTTCCTGGCTAGTCATTGTGTATATTCGCTTGCTATAATACATTTGCCTGCACACATTCGTCACATGTGATATGCATTACATTAAGTAGATAATTTTAATCATTTCTTCCTTTATGTTTTGTTATGTACGGCGTATATGCTTCGGAGCACATACAAGTCCTTTAATATTTTACCCAAAATATAAAAAATAATTATGGTAATATCCATAATCTCATAGGCATCGCGATGCCAACCTCTTCAATAACGACAAAACCGTGTGAAATATTAATAGGAAATCTCAAGACCATTCCTGTCCATTTTGTCTGTTGTATATATACATGATATTTAGAATAATTCAGAGTTTGAAAAAGAGAGAACCAGTCGAAAATTTAGTACGTAGCGGTGATTCTGATCGGTTATTTATTCAATTTTGTATATATATATATGTCGATATATAACGTGAGTGAAGGATGTAGAAAGTTTTAGTAGCACGTGTTTAAACCTGTGTACGATGTGTAGCACGATGTGCTGGTGATGCATTGCTAGTGATACATCTTCGTATTCGAGGTTGAGAAATCGGGGAGAGACGAGGCGATCTGTATTTTATTTTCTTCATATTAATCGATTCGTATCATCTCTCACAAACGGATACAAAGTCTAATTATTTTTTGAAGACTGATAAAGTAAGGCGATGAAGATCTGGAATAAGCGTCTTCGATCGAAAATTAATCATAATGAGGAAGTACCGTTTATATCGACTGTAAATGTAGAGCGGTCTAATTGTAAGTAGTTGGCTAAAAACAGCATTACAATAACGGGACAAAAATTTTATAAGCATTACCTTAAGTTCTAGTCTACAGGCAATATGTCGTCTATTTTCGTCACATATTACATGTATTATGAATATTTGTTTTGCTTGTAAGCAGTGTCTATCAAAATCGATCCCCTTCGTGAAAGTAAATGTATTACTAAAGGGGTGTACAGATCAGTGAGATCAGATATAGATCTGAGATCAAAATGCTATATGTTTAATTATTATTTAACATTATTTTTGTCTTTCATCGAAGACTTTATTGCAGACGAGCAGCTGCAAAATTATTTTATTATTTTTACTTTTGTTTTTAATTTTATCCTTGATCTCTTATCTTTTATAACATGTCAATTTTCCTTCTGCGTGAGAATTAAATTGTCATCGAACTCTTATCAGAAGGAGATTTTAAGGACATCCGTGACTTTCTGCGAGTCGCGATGGTGACTCCAGAAGTATAAGCCCAATGCGATCTTAGTGGTAGCGTCAATCGGCCGATGAGGGCGATAAGCATTTTCCTCAAAGTTTATATATTTAGTCGGCGCGACCAGGAGCTCGCGAGAAAGCGCGTTGCCTACGTGCGGCTAATTAGTGTGGTACCGAGCTGCCATCTTGATAGGGACACACGCGACCATCACACAAGATCAGCTAGAATCTATTATATTTATTAATTTAATCGAAAAGTCTCTTGTGTAAACGATCTTACCCTGTTCCAGTTCGAGTTAATTAGATTTAACTCCGTCAACTTGGAAACATCAGGGTATCCTTACGTTGTTTGATCTGTACACCATTCTACGTAGTCTGTACGCTATTCTTGTAATTTCTTGTTTTGTAACATTATTTTCACTTTACTCTAGGTTTTAAGAATAACTTTTGTTACATATCGCCTTTTTTAAATTTGTCAGATATCTTTATAGTTTGTACATTATTACTTGCAGTACAATAAAATTTATAGCTAAGTATATCCCTCCCGTCTTTATCATAATCTAAACTCGAAAGAAATGTGTCATCGGTTGTTTGCAACTAATAAACAGAATAAATGTAGCAGATAAAAAATATTTATTGATCCTTGGTGCAATTATTTGTCGTATATAGGACATTCGTATAAATTAATAGATTTATCCTCGGATACTGACGCAATTATGTTATTTCGCTGTGGATTATACTTTACTGACCATACCTATTATAAAAATTATAAAAATCTATTAAAATTTTAAAAGATTGTATATTAAACAGAAATTATTTCAAATTTAAGACATACCTGATCCTTATGTTCACGAAATGTATGCAAACATTGTCTTTGTGCTAATTCCCAGATCTTGACTGTATGATCGGAACTACTTGATGCAAATTGCTGTCCGTCTGGTGAGAAAGCCACGCCGAGTACCCAAGAAGCGTGACCCGACATTGTTCCTGCCAGATTCGCATCCTTGCTGAATAAAAAAGAAAATGAAACATTAATACTACGTTGTTTCTAGTAAAACTAGCATATATATACTTATGCTCAATGCTGAACCAATAGCTTGTCTAAAAGAAGGTTTAATTCCCAGAAATGCTATTCTGCATGTAACACTACAAAATTTTTAATGAGAAAGTATTCCACTATGATAAAAACAAATTATTTGAAACATGAATTTAATTCCAAAATAACTGAACAAGTGGTACTGTATTGTCCCTTGGAGACAAGCTTCAAACAGTAAATATGCTTTTAAAAAATCTCAATTCTCCAGAGTGGAGATTGGGAGGTAACAATCCTTTCCCAGAAAAATTGCTACGAACGTGCAAAAAAATCAAGAAGAAGCAAAAGTTCATGTAGAATCGTATTTCTCCAGAATCAAAACTTAGCTTGAACTATAGTGTCAAGGAGAGAAAAAGAATACATGTATATGTATTTCTAAATTTCTAATTTACTCACACATCATACAGCTTCATATGTCCATCATCAGATGCTGTAAGAAGCAACTGAGAGTCGGGTGAAAAACATAAAGACCTGATAGGCATCGCGTGACCTAAATAATATAAACTTGATAGAACATTTATACCTTGGTAATGTTGTAATATATTTGTGTGGGAAAGTGGGGATTTACCTTCCAGTGTACGTAAAACTTTTCCATAAGCAACATCAAAGATATTAATAATACCATCTATCGCACCACTTGCAATATATTTGCCATCTGGACTCTGGAACGCACACACTCTCAGACACAAGTTACATGTATCATAGATTTTTATACAATCTACTTACATAAGCAACACTTAATGTAAATTTTCCACCTCTTGTATCTAATGTCTGTTCTTGTTTACCATTATCGGTCCCATATAAATGTATTTTACCAGCATGACTACCAGATACGATAAATTTATCGTCAGGAGAAAAAACCAAAGTCCAAATATCTACTGGGCCAACTTCAATGCTCAATAGCTTATCACCGGAATGTAAGTCCCATAATTTCAGACTAGAGTCGAGCGAACTTGAGGCACATTCTACAAATCAAGAATAAAAGATAAATATCAGTCACGTAATACACATTTAATTAATATTTCTATTCACGTACTTGATCCATCCGAACTAATAGCTATAGATACGACTCCCAAGGAATATCCAGTTAATTTATGTTTTAACTTCAAAGCACCATCCGTTAGCTCCCATACTTTCACAGAATCGTCCACAGAAGCTGTTACTAGATATTCTGCAATCTCATTTTCATTAGATCGTATAGAATCCCTGTCAAGTAATATAATAATTAAAATAAAAGTTTTTTACTAATAATAAGTTAACTTTTTAATTACCGTGAATCTTCATTATCCGGGTGGATATCCCTCTTTCTCTTTGGACAACCCCATCCACAAGTCCATATACTATCCTCATGGGCATTTTCTGTTTTATGAATTAAAGAATACTGAAAAAGAAAACAGAATATAGAAAAACGATAGTTGACAGATATTTTGATGTTATTTTTTTAACATTATTATTAAGATAGATATTCGATAGAAATGAACAACGTGACAGATTTATTCTCACCATCTTACTATCAAAAAATAAATTTTTATTCAAGTAGATATAATACGTAAACTGTTGATGCGCGTTCTTCGGTGTTTATATATCTTCTTCTTTCAAGTTGCTACTGTTGCTAGCACCGATGAGCACGAGGCAGTCTTCTATGGCCTGCGAGCTGTACAGCTCCAAAGATGGCCAGGGCGAACCACGTGTCGTAGAGCACCGGGCAGTACTTGCCAAAGAAAAGCCCGAGAAGAGTGAGAAGCGCAATTTTCATGAGACGCTTACAGCAGCGCCATTACATCCACTTTAAAGCCCCTTGCACAAGAAATCAGAAAATCATGTATAAATGCAGAATAAACAGTGACATAGGCAATAGACACAGAGTTTCCGTCATGTTGGAATAATGGTTATGCACTTATGCAAGTTTGTCTGAATAGACCTTAAGAGAATTGATTGGTCCATATGCATGTGCATAAGGAAATAGACCAATCCGTTTCTTTATGCATATATGGTTATGCACCTATGCAAGTTTGTCTGGATAGACCTTAAAGGCCATCGCACACAAAATGCATATGCTGCTTAGCATAAGCGTAGCATAAAATCGCTAAACCAATAAGCATCTAGCATAAAGTCGCCATATTAATTTACATAAAATGCTTATTGGTCCAGCGGTCTTATGCTATGCATATGCAGCCTATGCAATTTTGTGTGCGATGGCCTTAAGACATTACTTAAAGCCTGCTCTTGCACAATAAGCGATAGCGATAGCGATAGCGACAGCAACAAAGTTGCCGACAAAGGTATAGCTTTGTCGGCAACCTTAAAGGCCGGTATTCATAATCAAATCTTATTTCAAAACCGTCTTAAGTAATATCTTAAGATGCTAATACGGCTCTGTGATTGGTTAATGACATCTTAAGATTGTACTTAAGATGGTCTTAAATATAAAAACCGATTATGAATACCGGCCTAACAATATAAAGGCCCGGGCACATAGAAAAATTTAAGGGTCGACAGGAGTTAAGGGTTGGTTTATAATAGCTGTAACCGTTGATTTAAGCCGTAATTTTTAAGAAATTGACCAGTCACAGTCGATTATTCTTCTCACATTCGACTGTGATTGGTCAATTTCTTGAAGATTACGGCTTAAATCAACGGTTACGGCTATTATAAACCAACCCTTACTACCGACCTCTGTCGGGTTGCTTAGCTGCGAGTCCGTATTTTATTTATTATAAATTTTTTAAGAGCCAAAATAGAAAATCCGGCTCTGTACCGGCTTGCGGCTGATCTTACTGATTAAAACAAGCATAAGTTTAATGAGATTCGTTAATTAATTTGGCTAAAATTGGGGAAAAACCGTTCCTAAGCAATTTTGCAGCTCTAAGCAAGCCTGAAGGGGAGGGTTTTTCTTATAATATTCCACTATTCTTTAATACTTAGCAAAAATACATTATTTCAATTATATGGGAACAAATAGTGAAATTTATTTATCAATACATATATGAAATACAAATTTTTGTATATTATAGACGTAAATTTATATACTATAATTAAACAACCATAATTACTGTTTCATCTGTTCTTCCGTCGATTTTATTTTACCAAATAACGAATTGTATAATTCATTCTTTGCATTGTCTGTCCATGTGTCATACACCGTAATGGGTGCCATAAAATTAATTAACTTATTGTGAACATTGTATCGCACTTTTCTGCCCTTTGTCGCGCGCGTATCAATTTTTCTTTTCATTTTCTTACGCATGTTCTGCAATTGGATCCACTGTTTGCTGAGCTGTATAGGATCTGTTACATCCGACGATTTATATTCTATCAGGTTCCTCAACAGTTGATGATAAAAATCGTCATCATCATAAATTTCTACATCATATTCCTGAATTCTTCTACCATCATTGTCTTCGTTCGACAAAGATTTACCGACAACATTGTACTCGGAACGCTTCAGTTGAGTTCTTTTTCGTAACTTGCTTATATCACTCATAGCAAATTCAATTTGTTTCAGTGTAGTCTGACCTGAGCCCTTACTTAACGAGCTTGTTGCAATCCATGTCTTGTCGTTCCATTTCTTTATAACAGAATTCCTATATTCTCTGTAGGAATCATGATCTTTTTGTAAAACTTTCTCATAGTCATTATATCTTAAACGTTTTTGTGGCACTGATTCTTCAACCGCTTCTATATCTTCATCAATGGACACATGCTTTCCATTTTCTAATTCATCTTCGGTGTCAGAAGATATTTCTTCATCCATTGAATCCGTATTTACATTCATATCCTTGTCAGTTTTTCTCTTCACAGCATCAACGCATAGATCTCTCGTTTCGGGATATTGTTTCAATAAAAGATCTTTCAGTCGCAACATGTTTTCCATGATTAGTGTCAATTTGCTTTTAGTTTCATTAACCTTCTTCACGAAAACTACGTCTGATCTGAGTTCTCTATGCGTGTCATATTGTGGCATTTGATTACTAATTACAACGCATTTCTGCAGTTTTATTCGCATCTCCAAGAAACTTTCCCAAAGTTTAAGTTGATTCCTGACACTATTACCTTTCTCTATTTCTGCTCCAACATTTGTTTCAGACATTGTTCTAATAGTAGAGTCTTTCCGTTTGTAAAACGGATCATTGATATCTATGTTATCATCATCTTGGTCTTCCAAATCAGACATACTTTCTGAGACATCTGTACATCCTTCTTTCAAATTTGTTTTTCTATTGCTGCCTAAATCATCGTTACTTTGCTCCCGTGTATCATCCATCTCTTCATCTTCAGCATCTTCGTTGGAGCCTTCACTTCCCACATCTTCACTCATATTATCGTCCTCGTCACTGTATATATCTTTCCTCGAAATTTTTTTACCAGCATACCTGCGTTAACAATATGAATAAATTGTGAGATTTTCAAGATTTCATTTACATACTAATTTTTTATCTTTCACATGTGCAAATATAAAATACTTATATAAAATTTACCTCTTATCCACTTTATCCAAGGCATCAACATTTTGTCTGCGAATTTTAGATGTCCGAAATTCGTCGTCTGAGACATCGCTCTCGTTGTAAGGTTCCACTACTTTTGCTTTCGTATCTTCCGGCTCTTCGTCTGAGCCGAAATCAGGTTTCGTTGTAACTAAAGCATTTATTTTATCAGCTAAACTCTTTCTAGCCATTTTTTCGTACTTGTCCGGCGATTAAAAAACACGTGTTCATGCGTCAATTTAACCTCCAAGTTTTACAGTTCTTCTCAGTGAACTATGAGTGCACGGTGCGTTCCACTTATCGCTCGCAACGCTCGTGTAGAGTCCTATAAGGTTTGTTCGCGTCGCTCCAATATACAAGAGACACTTGGATCACGGGTAAAGGGTGGCGATTGGAGCAGATGAGTTTTTGGAGTGCGTTGGAGTGAGTGAGTAAGAGCATGGTGGGTAGAGTCCAAGAGTCTGGCCACTGAGGCTACTTTGTAACAAAATGGCGTTTCACATCTTATACAGGGACTCTAGCATCTAGAGTCAAGGATACTCAGAAGACTGTTAAGGCCATTGCACGTAACAAAGTTTTAAGCCCCGGGCACACACTTTTTCGTAACAGTAACAGTAAAGTTTCGACCAATCGCGTTGCTCGATTCGGGAACGTACGGCCGTACTGGTTATGCTGGGTCTACAATGCGAGTCGCAAAGTCGTGAGTCGCAAGAATTGATCAATCACAGACGAATTTGAGGAGAATAATCGACTGTGATTGGTCAATTCTTGCGACTCACGACTTTGCGACTCGCATTGGCTGGATTTGGGAAGCGCGCTATTAGCGCTATTTGCTTATTCTATCCTTGTTTTAACACCTGATGAGCGATAAAGATAGAACGATGCAATAGCGCTAATAGCGCGCTCCCCGAACGTAGCCATTGTAGACCCAGCATTAGTCATAATCGTAAGGCCGTAAGAAAATAGACCAATCACACTTGACTATTCTTCAAGCGCGAGGAGAATAATCGACTGTGATTGGTCTATTTTCTTACAGCCTTACGATTATGACTAAAGGTCAATTCAGACAAACTTGCATAGCGCATAAACATAAGCATAAGAGAATTAATTGGTCCATATGCATGTGCATAAGGAAATAGACCAATCCGTTTCGTTATGCATATGGTTATGCACCTATGCAAGTTTGTGTGGATATAGCTTAAAACTTTGTTACGTGCAATGGCCTTTACTACGTTTACGCGAACTTTACTTCTGTAGTTAACTTACGATAATTCCTTCGCGTAAACGGGATTTTGTAGTAACTTACGATAATTTACTCCGCGTAAACGAGTGATATATCGTAAGTTTTACTACAGGGGCCCGATTCTTTAACGAGAAACGTATGCGCAAACTCTGCTCTAACAGAAAGGCTGCAAATTGATTGGCTATCGCACAGTTTTTAGCCAATAAGCTTGCAGCTTTTTTTTTAGAGCAGAGTTTACGCATACGTTTGTCGTTAGAGAATCGGGCCCCAGTACTCCTATTCTGTAACTCTTAACGACAGTGTCGTTATCGTTATGATGTCGTTGCGCAGGTATATTATATGGAAAAAAAGCTGCGCAACGACGATATAACGATACCGATACTGTCGTTAGAGTTACAGAATAGGGCTACAGGGGGCCGTATTCTGTTCCGCTAAAATCCGCCCGACAATTGTCGGTGTCGTTGCGCAGCTTTTAGGCCCGGTCTACAATGAATGTCGGAAGTCGGAGTCGTAAGAAATTGACCAATCACAATCTATTATTCTCCTTGCGGTCGAAGAATAATGAACTGTGATTGGTCAATTTCTTACGACTCCGACTTCCAACATCCATTGTAGACCGGGCCTTACACGATATGAAAAACCTGCGCAACGACACTTATCGAACCGACAGTTGTCGGTAGGCAGGAACGGAATACGGGCCCAGAAGTAACGCTCGCGCTCGCGTAAACGTTAGAAAAAGAAGAAGAAAGGGGCTGTAGTCGCATTCTAATTGGTTTCGCCATTTTGTTACAAATGGTTGATTGAGCCAATACTGGCCAATACGTGTGAGTCCACTTCAGTGGCGAGTATAGGGACTCTACCCATGACGAATCACTGTCAGTACTGTAAATCTATATTTTACGTCACCTATACTATAGATTTTCAGTACTGAAAGTTGCTGACAGTGAATTTCGGAGCCAGAGAGTTGCGCTACTGTAATACTGTATATTATATAAAGGTGAAATTTCATGGGCAGTGAAAAGCAGCAGCAGATCGTACTGATTGGCTGCAAAATAGAGAAGTTTTCGAGTATGTATTTCTTGTGCAAGATGTGCAAGTGTGGTTTGGTGTGGTTAGTTCAGCCAGGTTCAGCAATAGAAAACAAATCTGTTGAGTGAATTTGTCATTCTTTACTCACGTCTCAGGTCTTAGCAATCTCAGATCTCAGCATTCGTCAGTAATCATAATAGTAATCTTGTGACTGTCTTATCAAGTTGTATTTACGTGGTTATCAATCAAGCATGCATTTAACCTAAACACCCACCGATAGATAGGTGGAAGATCAATTATGCGTCGTCTTGCATGGAACAGATGGATTCACAAATGAAATCGAGCAGATCTTTACCGCCGTTAGTTGAAGGTAAGATTCACGGCAGTCTAAGGCTCGTTATCAATGAGATCCTATGGGTCAGAAGAAGTCCCGGAGATATTATGGTAGTGGCCTCCTGGTGGGGTGAACATGATAACGCGCAGTTCAGGTGATTTTATAATCTTAATTTAAGCAATTTGTTTTACGATAAATATGGATTTTAATCATGGCAAAAATAAAATAATATCTAAATTAATTTTGTTGATAATATATTTGAAAATATTTTATTATTCCTGTTTTATGTAAAATTTTCATGTTTTTTTCTCAGGCCAAGAGATAGTACCACAGGAACAGAAAGAACAATTGATGATATAACTAAAGTGTATGATATAAAAACTACTGCAACACTGTTTGAAGATTATATTAAAAACTGTGACACAATAGAACTAGTAATTATTGCAGAAAATACCCATGATATTATTGGTAGAGGACATATAGGAGAATTGTCTAAGATATTTTCATGTAAATATTATTCTCAATTTATTCCGATATTAAATAACAATGGTCATAAAATAGGAAAACTACATGTTTCTTTGCAATTGACATATTTAACAAAGCATTCAAACATACAATCAAAAACACACAAATACGATAAGAAGGAAGATAGAGATATTTTATTATTTGCTATTGATAATTTACAATGTAATGAGAAGATGCCAGTAAAATCTTACAACAATGTGGTGAACACTGAAGAAAAGAAATCTATGAAATCTGAACAGATTGATACATACAATAGATATAGATCTATTCTTAAGACCAAGCGATTAGAGTTTCAAGAATCTAGGAAAAAAATGAATGAAATGGTAACAGACAAATTAGTTGTGCAAATCGTTGCTAGAGCGCAGCATCTTAGAGAAGCGATATTAAAGGAGACTTATAAAGAAGATTCTTTAACTCTGAGTGATAATTCATTGAGCAATGGAGCGTCTTCTAATGCTTCAGTAGAAAACAAAACAAAACTTTATAAGTATATTTTGGGGATGGGAATGACTCCTTCAGAGGAAAAGAAAGTTTTAAATACGTTGAGGTCAATACCTCCAAATTTAAGTTTGATAGATCTGACATCTAAAATAATTACAACTGGTAAAGACGATAATATGAGTACCGGATGGAATAAAAATTTCTCTGTAAAATTAGACAACCCTAAAAAACATGCATTGGATAAAAATGCAACTTATATTGGGTTGGAAGGTTTGTAAAATAATAGATAATGTTAAAATGTTTCTTGATATGTTATTGTAATAAATTATTTATGTGTTATTATAATGAATTGTATTTCTTCAGAGGCATATCTTCTAGATTATGTAAACAGTATTAGAATTTTTATCGAGTCCTTCATATTGACACCTGCGGGATATAGACGTGCAAAATCTACATGCTTGCAATGTACGTAACTTTTTGTTATTTTATATTTTATGAGAAGATTTTATAAAAATATGTTAAGATTTTTCTAAGTACATATTAATAAATCATATTTTTTTCTCAATTACAGATGATGTACCATTGTCACTGACATATTTTATTCAATATGATACGACATTTGGATCTATAAGGCAAATAAGTAGCAAATCTAGTAAAGAAACTAAATTTATAAGAACGTGTGCTAAAAAACAAGTGGGTCAAGGTAAAAAGTTATATTTGTTGGAAAATTATTCAAATACAAATATTATTTTTAGTTAAATGATAATAAGTACTTGATCAAAAATTAATTTTTACAGTTGTTAACTTTAACTCTGAAGGTATTTATAGTATATCAAGACATAATATAAAAAAAAATCTTCCTTTGAAATTTAAAGTTTTTGTGAAACATCGTAACCAAAAGCTTCCAACTGAATTAGGATTTGGTTTCATGAATATCAGTGACATTATAAATACTACAAACTTAAGTAGCATCCATTGTATAGCTATTGCCACGAAGGGCATCAAAATAGGTGAATTAAAAGTTATAACAGAATTAGGTTGCGATTTTATTCATTTTGGAAAAGAATTTGTTGGTGAGTATATTATTGAGATGTAGCTTTATTAGATAGACCTAATATTTTGTCAAATATTCAATCTACGTATTTCATCAGATGCTGTAATATCTAAAAAAGAAAATCTTCCTATTTTGGAGAAGAAATTTTTGACGAGCTCAAATAATAATAAATATAAAAGTGCAACGGGGACTCATTCCTCTAAATCTAATTGCAAAGTTTCGTCTGTGTCTGCCAAGCGAATTGAGTGTTTAACTAGCAATAGCAATAAAGACGTAGTTATTGCTAAAGATATAACACAGCACCAAGAACAAAGTTCAGATAATAAAAAGATTGATACAAGTAACCCAGAAAGTGGTACTAAAGATAAGGTAGGTTTTAAATGACTTAGATTAGAGCTTCTGCTGAATGAATGCTGTAATATTGCTTATCTAGTTTGCATCTTTATATTAAATGCTATTGAATATTGAGCAAGAGCTTATAAAGTAAAGCAACAAGCAATATGAAGCAATACAGAGTGAGATAATTGTAGTTTCCTATTACTATTTGTTGTTCAAAATTCAGTAATATCCTAACATGAATAGTTAAATCATATTGCAGCACTCAACTATATTCGAGACATATAGTTGTATTCTAAATAAATGTATATTATGTTATTTACATTTGATTCTAGGTTTTACTTCACGGCTTGATATATGTGGCTGAGGGTAAAGATTTGTCGGAATCTAATACCTATCTAATATGTAGAGCATTTTGGCGAGAGGACAAAGCAACAAGTCAAATTTGCAATACAAAAAATCCACTCTATCATTTTTTCCAAGTAAACATTTTTTGTCCTTTTAACAAAGTAATTTCAATTGTACAAAAGTAAACTTTACCTTAAAAATATATGTTTCAGCAAGTACCTTTAATTCACGGTACAGAGTTATTGGAGAGAATCAGAAACAATTATATAATCATAGAGGTATATAATCAGAAAAATAGTGGAACAGATAGTTTGTTGGGAATAGCAAAACTGCCTGTGCATCAGTTATACATCGCATATAGAGATCCACTTATTTTACCTCACTTATTATTATCAAAGGTAATTATAATTAATTGTATTTTAATTAAATTTTCAATTGATTATATAATTGTGTTTTCACGCAGTATCCTGTAATAAGTGTAGATGGTTGGGTTAATATTAACGATCCAGTAAGCGGGAAATTTTGCGGAAAGCTGCTTGCATTAGTCGCACTTGGTACTGCGGAACAAATCGCACTACTAGAAGTATCAAGAGGTCTAAGAAGTACCAACAATATATTACGAACGGATTATAACTATCACTGCTGTGTTCCTGACAATACTAACAATGCAATAGGCGGCCAAGAGAGTATACAGTATAATGTTCCTGAAGTGTCAAACCTTAGTTCCAAACAATCCACTCGTGGCAATACGTTCGCTTATCACATTTATAATATGCCCGATCAAGATTTGACATCTGTTGATTACAAGACTCAAGAAAGTCAAACAGATATTTCAAGCTTAAAAAATGTGAGACCGGAGAAACCGATACAGGGAGCTGAATCTTCGGAACACTTGGCTTTACGTACTTTGGTTGATCATTTGACAAATGTATTACATATTAATAAAATCAGTACAAACCAATCGGCTCAAACAGAAATGAATCAAGTTGATGAAAGGGAAATACATAGAGAATTATGCTTGAATACACTAAATAGTAATAGTCTCACTGATGATAACGATAGTTGTAATCCGAAAAATGATTTTCGATTACCTACGGAAATGTACAGAAGTGTCGGTGTCGGTGCTGAATATGACGAAGACTTAGATCAACAGCAAAATAACACTTATAATCTTTCAAACTCATCTTTAATGGAAAGAAATGCACAAAAAGTAGAATTAAATATGAATTGCAATAGTTCTTTTTTCCGATCTGTTGTTGAAATTGAATGTGCACTGCATTTGCCAAAGATTGAAGGACCAAACGAATCAATAGAACCAAGTACATACGTAACTTTTCAAGATTTAACTCATAAACTCGATTCTACTGATCAATTAAATTCATATATAGCTACAAACATATTTCCACATAGTTGTAATCCGAAATGGAATTGGAGATGCGATGCAAAGCTGTCAACAGACTTACTTTTAAACGTATGTAACTTTATATTCATGTTTTAAATGTGTCTAGTCATAATTGAATCCATGATATAACTTATGATGTAACTTATGATGTAAGCCTTAATCTATGTTCTACTTCTGTTTTTTTCCAGAATCAAAAAAGATTAATTCTCAAAGTGTGGCATTTGATTGATCCAGATGTATCTAAAGACATAAATTTAAGAAAAGATATTGTGATAGGTTTTTCCGCGATTGATCTCTCGGTTCTGATGACTGGATTTCCCACGGTATCTGGATGGTTTCATATCATGGATTTTACTGGAAAATGCAATGGACAAATTAAAGTAAAATCTCGTGATAACTTCTATCTCCAAAAGAAAAGTCTTATATCCCCTCCCCCCCCTTCACATACATATACAATAAAATTCTTTTTATTTTAGATAAGTATAACACCTCTGGATAATTTATCATCATTAGGAAAATTTGCACCAACTAACACTACTAATTTATCAAGGCAAAGTAATTTATCGCAGACAAACTGCCCACATCTGTATAATGCGCCTTGCACTAATACAGAATTAAATGGTGCACATCAAATATCATATGCAAGCCAAAATAATGACAAATATGTACAAAATGATTGTAAGTTAAATGTAGATATTGGACATAATCTAGAAGACATTTCTATGTCTTTCTTATCATCGTCTTTGAAGTGAGTGTGTGATGCCAGACGTACTATAATTTATTTTATTTATCATTATGTTGCTGTTTTTCCACACAGGTTTAATTTTGATCGATATCTGTTACAGGCAAAAATTAACCGAATTAGACGAAATCACAAAACGTTTGCAGTCACGACTGCATGATGTCACAAACACAGCTTTTGAAGATGAATTTGATAATGATTTTGATATAATCGAGCCAAACAGTGACAATGAAAATACTAATGACAGAAACATTGAGATGGCACGGTATCCACAATCCACAGTCTCTGAATACTCTAATAATGAAACGTCACAAATGCCAAAACAATGTGAAATACAGAACGATCAAAATGTCATAAATGACGAAAGGCAAACTTCTTCCATTATAAGCAGCAATAGTAATCTACATTTTGAACCAGCGTCTAATAAAAATAGAGCTATAAGTTCCGAAGCGACTGATACCGGATATTGTTCAAGTTCCAATATACGTTTCAGTCAACATCCTGGCTATTATTCCAATCAGTATCAAAATCGATATAGCTCAATGCACAATTATTTATCGGACAGTAATACAGAATATCCCGTGCGAGGTACCAAAACACATATAAATCATTTGCTTGACAAGCTTTCTTTGGACTTGCCACCTAGATCATGTTCAGAAGCAGCCATACCAATAAGAAAAAACATTCTAGAGTTATTTGCGAGTTTACGGGAACATAGAAATAACTCGCAAGACAAAGAAAAAAACGGTCGTGACATTAATACCTACACGGTGCTCACACAAACTGATAATAACCAACACGCTCACTCTCATACGACAAATTTTATTACTTCTAAAACAACCGTTGGGGAAAGCATTTCCGTCGAATCGCCTCATAACAGAATATCGACGGTAATACGTGAGGAGCTAGTCGCGGAAGAAAATAACGACAGTACAAACTGTGATGAATTAACAACTTATTTAATAACTTCTAACGTACGCCATACGGATTTGGATAACATATTTAATCCGCTTTTATATCAACATTTGATGCCAGATTTGCAAGTTGCAGCTGCTGTATCACCGGAAGGAGACGCTGTGGAACAACTAGATAATCGATACGCGAGAAGTTTCGATATAGCAATGTGCAACAGTAATCTCAATCATTCAAATGAAAATAATGCTCTATTTCAAAATAATGCACAACTGAAAGATCGGGCACGTGCTTTAGAATTTGATAAAAAAAAGGAAGTTTTCGATTTAACATCTTCAAGTATATCAGAAAATGTCGATAATAGTATTGACATGACCGTCATTTATAAATCTAGCGAAAAGGATTTAAGATCAGCTAATAGTATGGAATCGACCGCTATTCCATCACTCAATGGCTCGTCTGTACAAGCCGAGGTCGAAATAAAAGACTATTCCATCTTATCTGAATTATCTGTACCTGGAGTGTCGAGACAAGCACCTGAGGGTGGAAATCCCATAGAGGAAGTCAAGACATCCTCAGTGGCAAAGAGGCAAAATGATACCCAAGATGTATCAGCAGACAACTAAATACTCTTAAATATTTACGAGATTTGTAATAAATTAGAATATGGACAAATTATATATATTTATAAGTGCATTTTTTAATAATATGACATAATTGTACGTTCTTTACAGTTACACCAAGCTAAATTTTGAAATAGATATTAATGTCAATGTTATTATGAAATATTTTAATCAGGTTTTTTATTGAAAAATGTAATACGTTGGTAATATTTTTTTGCTTGAAAATCTCACGTTTAATCTGAACATCTTATTTCAACTATTTGAAACTAAAGTATACTTACATTAACTGGTATACTTTAACTTAATTTAAATTTTATTTATCATACATACTTTTTTAGAAGTAAATATAATCTTATTCCGAAGTAACTCAGAACTTCTACTGACTGATGACCGTTGTATACGTAATAATAATGTAAGATAAATATTGATGTGTCAAGAGTTTTACTATCCCGGATATTTAAACTGCTATATATGTTATTTGAAATATTTACTATACACGTATTATCGTACACATATTTTTATATAATCTTTGTGTATATATAGTGCCTAAATATATAGATTTACAAAAATGCAATGTATAAACATTAAGAATAAAATAAATCCAATCCACGTATAAGAATTTTTTTTTCATGTAAAGTAGAAGAGAACGGCGGAAGAATAGTATTGAACAAAAAACTGTATATTTGAAATTAAAAAAGTATCGTATAATTTGATCTGTCTTAATCTTTTGAGTAAACTGAGAGATATGTTTCTTTTCTTGTCCATTGTTTCATCGCAGCAGGATTGATCAGCCATATCTTTGCATCAGTGCCTTCATGAATGTGAATACTTGAACATGTTCTTATTTTCTACAATTACATAATTAATCATTTCTATCAATTTAGTTATCTATATACTTACACACATATATGTATGTGTAAATGCACAAATGTATGTAACACACACATACCCAGCATATTCCCAAAATTGTCAAAGATAGATTTTACAAAGTGTCTGCTACAAATTTTATCAACAATTATATTACAGAGATATAACAAAATACGAATACAGTTGATTGCAGAAACAGAGCGAAATCTGCTACTTTATCATTTAAATAATCCATTAATAGACTGTATCACTTGTATGATTATAAAATGACAAATTCTACTCAGTTCCTGCTGACAATCAGCCAACGTATTTTGTTATACTTCCGTTAACAGTCTGTTGACGAATTTGTAAGCAGTGAGACAGTGAGAAAGGAGATGGAGAAAGATTAAAACGTAATAATGCTAAAAACTTACACGAAACGATTCAAGTTTCTTCTTCTTAAATTTTGTTTGTTCCTGAACTTCTCTTGTCATGCAGATTTTACATAAGAAGATTTTATTATTCAGATGCCAGTAATCTCCCATTGGTAATTTGCCACATATCTTGCAGATATCCGTGTTGCGATTGCAACACTTGAAATCAACACCAAGTCGCATTTTAACTCTACCACCAAAACTATGTTGAAACGTAATACCTTTTATCTCCTTGTTGACATACGTTCCAGGCCTAAAGCGATGCAGTGCAGTACTTTACTTCGTAGAATATGTTTTGTTACGTATGAAGACAAAATTTTTTAAGTACCCTGGATTTTTATTGATATCGAAGATCCTTCTCTTGCTGGTAGATGCAAACGGATATTTCTGCGTTTTAACATGTTTAGAAATGCCAGAAACGTAATCGGATGGCGATATATAATCTTCCACGTGAGCGACAGGTTTGGCGAATCGAGCGAGGCCACTGTAACCCCTTTTGCTGATACTACGAGAGCACGGCTACCGACAGAGAGATGACAGAGATCAAGTGCATATATTATATGATTTTGTGCCCTTAATATTAAAATGGTAAATTGATGTAAAAGTTTGTACCTTGGTCTTGATGGCATTAAAAGATTTTAAGATGTCGTAAGAGCCAGGTCCTATATTAGGGTAATCTTCCACAGTGTAGTATCTCATGAAGGGACTCATACCACTTCGAGAAGTATCGCGTGGTTGTCCGGAACCGAAGCATATCCTTTGTCGTTTTAGTTTCCGTATTACATATTCGAAATCTGTGTCAATGGAAAACAGCTGCATAATCCACCCGATTTTAATCCTTTTGAGAGCCACCTATACACCCTAAACCCTCTCTTCCCTATCCGTAGATTTACGTTGTTTTAACTATCAACACACCTTTATTGAACTCGATACGAGGTGTCTTCGCGGTCTTGTATCTTTTACTATGGTAACGTTAACAAACATAAGAATATCCCTGTTTAAAATAGTTTAGCCGAATATCTCGAAAACTGCAGCTCGACAGGAAAAAATATTTCAGATAAAAGTTGTATGATCTGAAGGGAGATAAAAATAAATTTTCAAAAAAATCTATATATTTTCCAAGATCACACGAAAGTCATAATTCCATTTGTTTAAATGGAATTATATGATTTTTTCAACATAACATTCTGATTCTTCTTCTAATCTGCATCATCATGCATTGATAGTTTTGTGATGTAAAAATTATATGATGGTTATACATACGTGTGTATAAAAAGTACCGGGACGGCAGTATATCTCGAAAAAGCGTTGTTAAGCTCATTTCTCTGAAATATAAAAATATATTCGAACGTACGTACGTTCCTCTCACGTTTTGTGCGAGAATAAAATTGTAATTTCGCGGGTATCAGCGCCCTCGAGCACGCGCACGCGCACGTGTGCATGCACGCGCGGCGCCAACGAGGGATTCCTCTCGATATCGTTATATTCGGAAAATCTTAGATAAATTTTAGCGAGTGGACACGTCGCCGTTTACGCTCGTAAATATGCGAAATCACCTATTTCGCGCGCGCGTGCGGTTTAATGAGCGGCAGAGACGAAATAGTAGACGGCGGGTAAGTGGCCGGCACAGGAAGCGACGACCGACTCGAGATGTCACTTGAGCAACCTAGTGCCGTCAGTCGCCGCAGGTCGATGGTGTTGTCCGTACCGACCGACGCGACGGTCCGTCCGTAGCCGCGCTCGCGATGCGTCCACCGCGGTGTGTTTCTGCACATGGCCGTAGTGGCCGTACCGCTCGGCGGATCTTCACGTTGCTCCGCGGCTTTCGGCAACCCGCCACTGGTAAACGTGCGTTTCTACGACCAATTTTACTCGCCGTGAACGAAAAACACGTGTTTCTTTCATTGAAATATGCGAAAAGCACCGATTTTCGTGGCGGTAGAGATACTCGGCCGATGAGAAACGTAGGATTATTTATCTCACGTTCGCTGTCATACTCTCTCTCACTCTCGTGTGTTCTTACCACGGCGCCTTTTTCCATCGCGACTTGATGCGATGCGACGCGCCGCGAATAATCGTTTCCTCAACATCGTGAGGAAACTGATTTTTCTCATCGTGATTATCGCGTTCTTTGGGCATCCTTTGCGAAGAAAAATTATTCAGACTACACAGGCGTCGCGGTTATAATCGTCGCGCGATATTCAAGGACATCGAAATGTCTCGAATACTATAGCGGGGGCTACATCTCGCATTTTCTATTCTGTAACTTTCGTAAGACGTTCTTCATCACCCGCGCAAATTGGCGATATCTCCATCTGTTTACTCTAATTTCTATAACTATCATCGAGTTTGTGCAAAATATTTTTTTCTTTCAACTATATTTGCGGGCAGTGATAATTTTTTTCTAAATAAAATAGACTTAATATATTCTACGACTAACAAATGTAACTTTCTTTAAAATTATATATCTACATATTATTTTTAACAAGATATTATTTTTTGTAGGATTGTATTTACCATTTTTAAGAGAATTATATCATACTTTGCATCCACCATGACTACATCCTCAGAAGATGTCCTGATGCAAGTGAGTCAAGTGCGTTACAAAAAAGGAGATGGTACTTTATATGTGATGAACGAACGAATAGCATGGATGCTTGATAACAGGGATACCGTATCTGTGAGCCACAAATATGCCGATATTAAATGTACGATCTCGAGAACTTACGTAAATATAATAAATTGATATAATTGATTCAATAAATGTATTATCTTATGTACATATATATATATATATACCATGTACATCATTGTAAATCTTTGTGAGACGATGTAAATATATGAATTACATATTAATCGATAACGACGATTGACTTCTTTGCAGTGCAAAAAATATCACCAGAGGGAAAATCAAAAATACAGCTGCAAGTGGTATTACACGATGGTACGTCGTCTACATTTCATTTTGTAAATAAAAATGGACAAGAAGCGCAAATTAAAGATCGTGATGATGTGAAGGAATTATTGCAACAGCTATTACCAAAATTTAAACGGAAAGTTAATAAAGAGCTAGAAGAAAAAAATAGGTAATATGGTTGAAACGTTTTAATTTCAGCTAATGTTTGAGGGGTATACAATTCGTTGTATTCGTAATTATTCGTAATTAAGAACAATTTATATTCACAAACACATTTTTGATTTTAGAACTCTTCAAGAACACCCTATGTTACTTCAATTATATCGTGATCTTGTAATCACGCAAGTTATTTCATCTGAAGAATTTTGGTCACAACATGCTGCAGAGTATACACAAGCCAAAAAGATTCAACGTCAAGAGATAGGTGTTAATAGCGCTTTTTTGGTAGGAATCTTATGCCGATGTTAGATTTTTTCTTAATGACAAAGAAATAATGGGCTATGAGAACCGTCGCAAGGTCGGATATGTGGAAATTATATTTGCTGCTTTTTGTCACCCTCTTTGATTCCCGCTGTCGAGTGCTGCGCGGATGCTTGTCGGACATACGCGCCGTAATACATACCTTTATAGAGCTCTGAACGCGCACCTGACGTTCTCAAAATGCGAATTCTAATATCTGCGCTTGCGTTGTGCGTTAACCCATTGCGATACCATTGTATGCGTGCATAATAACTTTGTGCATAGCCTATTGCGATACCATTGTATGCGTGCATATCAACTTTTTATACACGAGTCACTGAAGAGGGCCCGATTTAGGGCCGAAACGTTTGAATTTTAATGTACTGACTAAGAGTCTTTAAATATACGTTCCGCATATCCGACCTTGCGACGGCTCTCATAGCCCATTATTTCTTGATTTGTTTTTACTTAGAGCCTTATTATACATTTGTTTATTTGCCTTAATGTATTATAAGTACGCAATAATGGATTGATTGAATTTTTTAGGCGGATATTAAACCACAAACTGATGGTTGCAATGGATTAAAATACAATTTAACTGTCGATGTGATAGAATGTATATTTAAGACTTACCCAGCTGTTAAAAGGAAACATCAAGAAAATGTGCCTCATAAAATGTCAGAGTCTGATTTCTGGACGAAATTCTTTCAATCACATTATTTTCACAGAGACCGTATCAATGCTGGGACCAAGGATCTTTTTACCGAATGTGCCAAAATAGACGATCAAGAACTTAAGAAAGATCTTCAAACCGGGATAAATGATCCTTTGGTAGATATTACTTCCTTTGAGGATCAAACACTGGATGAAAATTATGGAAGCGGATGTAGTAAATCAGATAAAACATCGGGAAATATTGTACATCAAAATATGATCAAGAGATTTAATCAACATAGCATAATGGTTATGAAAGCTAGCACTGCCAAACAGTCGATGCAAAACAATCAACCACAATTAAATGGATCTGCACCATCTGCAAGTAAAGTAGCAACGAACGAACTGGACGATGGACCAAAGACTAAAAAAGTACAATTTTTTATTCTATTTTATATATTTGTAATTTTATATTTAATAAAATTAAGGATGATTCGTTTAATGCTTTTAAATATTCTTTACAGCATAGAATACAAGAAAAGATAACTTATGATGATCTTGACCAGAGCTGTGACGTAAATACAAATAATGGAGCACCGTTAAATTTGACGCATATAGATAGATATTTGCATGGACCTGTACCAGGATACGGAAATACAGAACCAACTTCGGAAGAATTGTTCGTTACATTAAATCACTTAAAGAAAGAAGCTTCTGGATGGATAGCCGGTAGTATGTTACCGCGGCAAACGGCGACTTCTTTAGTTAGTCCGGCTGCAGCAGTGTCAGCTTTAGGTGAATTAACCCCCGGCGGATCCTTAATGAAAGGTTTCCGAGAAGAAAGTCTTGGACGTAAGATATTCTTTGAAGTATATCCTCGATATTAAAAATGCCATCTAGTAATTAATATTCAATCCACTAATAAATTATTATTAGTCAATTTTTTTTTGCATCCTTTAATAATCGATGTGGAACTGAAGTAACAATTTAAATACATATAAATAAATATAGATAAGTAAGTATTGTATTTAAATACACATTGTAGAGTTAATACCGAAGGATTTAGAGAAGGAATTACGTAACGTATATGTGTGCGCATGTGAGCTATTGAGGCATTTTTGGCGAAGTTTTCCTCCGACAACACCACAGCTTGAAGAAAAAGCTATCAGAATGCATGAAGCTTTACACAGATTTCATTCTGCTAAATTAAAACCCTTTGAGGTGAGTAGATGTTTATTTCTACACGAGTTAAGCCGGTATATATTTACTTTTACGAAATTCATTATTTTATAATATACAATTTCATTTCTCTCAGGATCGTGTGCAAAGAGAATTCTCTGCGGTTAGTCAGCACTTGACGAGTCATCTCAATCAATTGTTAACCACCGCGTATAGGAAGTTTGCGGTATGGCAACAGCGAAAAATGCAAATGAGGTAGCCCTTCGTTAAAATCCCATAAAACAGTAACGTAAATAAAACAGCAATATTGGTCACATATTGCATTTCTTAATGTTACCGTAATTAGATATTAATGTCGATGTATCTTACAAGAAAAGGAAAAAAAACCAAAGCTATGCCGGGTCCACGCGTCCTGGCTACCACATACTGTTTATTTATTATTGTTTTGAAACACGTTTAGAATGATTTTTTTTTCGAATTTCTTTTCAAACTCGTCCAAATCCAATCGCAGTCGATGATGTGTTAACTCACAATTATTTTCATAAAAAGAATGTAATTTACAGCTTATTTATTTATTTCTAGTAGACTATACGATATGTTTGAATGCATATATATATATATATATATATATATATATATATATACTCATTTAAAAACGCACGGACGGAGGATTTTGAAAATGTCTCCTTACGCTGTGGAAAACGTAATGGATTTGTAAATTTATGCGAGAAAAAGTGATTTACTTACACATATAGTCATCTGTCGTCCATAATATGCAACTGTTTTAGTTCAAGTTACAAGTTGTGAGTGTGAGACGGACGACTGCAATTATTGTATGATATCAAAATAACTGTGATACCGCCACTATAATCAAGTTTGTTAATATACTTGCCTTGAATACCTTCGTGATTATAATCTGCATCGACTATATTATTGGCCAATAAGTCCGTGCGGTTTTTGCCGATAGATTTAGGCGCTCTGAGCGCAATTAACTTCAGTTTAAATGTTGGAAGCGTATAATTTATTTGACAGGCGATATTTCAACGTGTATTAAAAAAGAGTGACGATTAGTTGTGTTTTGTATTATTGGCATCATTTGAAAGATGAACAATCAAAATGAATATTTTCGACATATGTTTTTTATTTTAAAAAAGGCAATAACGCGGCGCAAACATGTAAAGAGATATGTGCAGTGTATGATGAGGAAAGAATGCATATGCTAGAAGTGGTTTGCGAGATTTCGTTCCGAAGATATCAATTTGGTGGGATTGGAAGGGTGTTGTTTTATATGAGCTGCTTTGAAAAGAACAGGACGGTAAATTCGGATGTATTCTGTGCCCAATTGGACAAATTGAATGCAGCGATCCATGAGAAGCGTCCAAAATCAGTGATGGTAGATTTAAGCCCTGTGCCATTCGAGAGTCGGCTGGTGGGAAACGTACCTGTACACAGCTTTCTCTTGTGTACGTATTCCTTACCAGCCGACTCTCGAGTGGCTCGAAGCTTAAATCTAACATTACTGCCCAGAATTGATGAATCGTAAGGGCATCTTTCATTTACACGTAAAAAACCGCACGGACATAAGTCCAATGTTTTGTTGATTCATATAACAATTTGTTACCGTTATGTATTCTTTGATCTCCTTATTTTCGTAATAAGTGAAAGTTGAAACAATCCTTATTTTGTCGTAGTTGCGATCAAGTCAATATGTTTAAATTTGAATCCTGAGATTTACAGGTGTGTGTTATATCTCGACGATATTATCGATTTTTCCTATTGTCTTACTGAGGACAGTGGCATTGGTATACTTTATGATATCTGCGATATACTCAACTAAGTGTCTTAATTGTTGAATCCTATTTTTCTCTCGTGCTACCGGGTAAGGTGATCCGTGAATTTTCGTAAAATGCCTACTCGGTCTTTACCGTAGCAATAAAATTTGGCAGTTGTAAGAATATAAAAATGGTATCTATCTCAATTGATACGAGTGACCATACTCACGCATTACGCTATTATAATTATTACTTAGGGGGTAATAATTATAAATATATTCTTACATTATAATTATAATAAATGTTATTATTGTGATGACGAATTTGCATTATCGATATCGTACCTTGATCTTCTCTTTTATCCTTTTCTTCTCATTTTTATGTCATACATTGCAACATTTTGGGTCTATTTTCTATTGCTGAACTGGCTACACTAGTTCAGAGTTTATCTTTTTTACTCCATTGAAGGAAAAAGATAAACTCTGAACTAGTGCAGTTGGTTCAGCAATAGAAAACAGACTCTTCGTTTTATTTTGAATTTTTAAACTTAACACTAAACTTTAAACTTAGAACAAAATAAGCGAGAACGAGTTTATTTTAATATTCAACAGGTTGCCAACTTTCTTTCGATAAGTTTCGTTTGTTCGAGCTCGGTTTCGACAAAATCAAGTAGCTCGCAGCTACGGAACAACGTCCATAAGTAACACCTAAAGTTTTCACAAAAAGATGGCTTATAATATGAAGCATTCGATTCTCGAGTTATTACTCTGGCTGGCGAATAAATATATAAGTCGTAACCATGTCGTAACAAATCTAAAGGGGTTAATCAATTTATTTGAAAATCCCGCCTGGCATTATAGTGGTCCGCGAGATTTCCCCGAAGCAGACGGAAGATGGCACGATCTATTGTTGATCGGGAGCAAAATGGCGGTTAGTAATGGTCAGCGATCAGCGGTATGGGACATGGGACAACATTGCGCATAGTGAGCACGGATGTCGGTGCATCATCGGTCCTCGTCGCTAGACAGCAAATGATCTCGCGCGAGTGTCTAATTGCCGTGGTTGGAACGCGCGCCAAGCGGTGCTCGTAATGCGCGCTTCTCGCTGCGATCGCTACATACGCTCGGATCATGTGAGCGCGACTCGCCGTCCAGTGGTGCTGTCGCCGCCGTCGCCGCTGGTGCCGCTGTTGCCGCTGGTGCCGCCCGTGCCGCCCGAGTATCGCGTGTCGCGCGTTTGTCGTGCGGAGACTCTCGTTCGTGTAGCCATATTTACACCGGTGTTTTTCACCCAGACATCGTCGTATCCGGTGACCCGACGAGTGTCGCACCGTCTCGCGACATTCGGCCCGCCGTATGGTCGCGTGCCCACCGAGAGGACATCGTCGCCGTCGCCGTCGCCGTCGCCGTCGCCGTCGTCGTCGTCACCGTCAACGTGCCGCCGAGCATGCGGCGGCTGTTTCCCGCCGTCCCGCCGTCGTCGTCGCCGTCGTCGGGCGTGCAGTGCCTGCGTCGATTGTCATCGCTGTCGATCGTAGCTAAGCGTCACGCGTGTCACGACGCACGGAAGGACGCTTCATCGGCGAATAATCTCGGATCCTGCGAACGCTCGCGATCGTCCGTCGTCACCTATTCGAGCTCGCTCGCTTGCTCGACCCCACAGTACTCCAGAGACTTACGATCAGTCGACTGCAACGCGCACTTTCCCATTGTGCCTCGTCCTGGATCTTGTGTAAAACGTAAGTCAATCCACGAGTTTTTTCTCCCTTTACCGTTTGCGCGATCGATTCTTTTATCAGCGCGGGGGCCTGTGTATTACCTTGATATCACGATTACGGGAATACCATATAATCGCTTTGTGCTAATTGACAGAATTAATGAGTGGAAGGGACTGTCATAGCGATCGTAGTGTGTTTCTTTCATCGACATGTGTTGCTTCACCTTTTGATAATCTTATTGTTCACCTTATAACTAAACTTCTTTTGGAGTGACAATGTATTAATTGTGTATAAGTCAAATAAAATTTGACTTATTGGGGTATAAAGAATACAGCTTGATTTAAAAGTACTATATAATTTTCATTTCTTTGTTTTTAATAAACGCTATTTGTTTATTGTCTACTGTGAAACAGAGTCAAGTATACATAGCTTTATTTTTCTTTCTTTTTCAGAGAGAATAGAGGGAGCCTTCGATATGCTGGTAATCCTGATGCTTGGATGAACTTCTTATGACTACATTTACTCTTGAAATGTGTTTTTCAGTATATAAGTTACAAAAGAGTGGAAATAACCTTATAGAAGTTGTGATAAAAGTTATGTTATGAGAGAGAATATTTTGGAGTGTACCCTGGACATTGTCAAACAGAAGAATCTGCTAAATATATACCAAGCGAGGCACTGTAGTGCCAAGCTTGGGTAATGGATCCCGTTGGTCCATGGTACACGTCGTATAATCGTCTAACTGCGGGCAGCTCCACTGGCACGTTTCAATCGACGTCGACTACAACTAGTGACTTTGTACCTCATCATTTAGCAACAGCTGCCACACAGGCTGTGCCATCAACAACTACGTCGCAATTACTTTTACAAGCGGCTCATACGACAGCAACTCTGGCGGGTCAACCATCCCCTTTTAACCCAGGGGGGTTTTTATCTCCACCCTCTGTGGGTTATGAAGTCTTTTCACCTTTGTTTCATCCTAATACTAAGCAGGCGCATTATGTTACTCAACATAGGCAAGTACTTGCTCAAGCACAAGCGGTATCAGCGACAAAACAAAACACGACTGAATCGGATATCTCCACATTAAGGGAAAATTATAGCTCGGCTCATCAAGCTACATTTTTCGAGCAACAGGGAGCATCGACGTCACCTACGACATCAACATTAGCCTGGACATCTCAGAACAATACGCAGCTTCCTAGCCCATTTGGTATTTTACCACACGAGAGCGTCGTTCCGTCGTCTCCGGGTCCGCCTTCTACGAAATCTAGTGGTACTGGCTACGAGAATACGTTTAATGCCCATTTTAGTACAACACAGACCATAAACAACATTAACGCATCTCAAATAACTACTCCGTCTGTGTGCAACGCAGATTTCAAGGCGTCTGGTTGTCCGACTGACACAAAAAAGTCGATCAGCGTGAGACCTCAATCACCTACCGTTAGCGTAAAGTCCACTATTTCTACGTCACAAGTCAGCAGTAATCAAACATTCTTTCATCAAGTTCCAACCTTTAATTCTGACACCTTGTCTGATAGTTATCCAGGCACTGGTAATGGAGGTCAGTCTGTCACTGAAAATGAAAAAGTGCAATCGTCACTGCAACATCAGCAATCGTGTATCGTATCGACACCAAGCAACTCTTCTGGCAAAGAATACAGAATACCGCAACCGTCCTTGAGATCGACCACATCGACAACGATTTTTCTAAGTGCTCCGGTGCGATCAGGCTCCGCGCAGGTAATTCAGGATAAGCAGGGGACGCGCAACGGCAATTTTGCGTCACCTAACAAAACGGCATCTGCCACCACGACTCAACAGAATATTCAGACCAAAGGGCAGACAAAGATTTATCCAGACCTAGGGAGCCACGGAATTGAGCACAGACGAAACGAGCAACAGGGACATGATAACAGTCAATCATCCCCGATTAGTTTCTCCATCATGGAAAGTCGCAACTTGAGTTATACTACAAATAGTACCACTAACTGCAACAACACCAATGGTAAGCTTACGACCAACCAGAGGACATCATCCAACTTACAGCATCCTCAGCAGCAACAGCAGCAGCAGCAGCAACAAACGTTTCATGTTTTGAATCAGCAACAACAGCAGCAACAGCAGACTACATCATATAGACATTATTTGACGGGATCAACGAGCGATACAGAATATCATCATCCGGGCAGATCCAAGTCCGCAACTTCAACGGATTCTGCTTACTCGTCCAATACCTCGACACAAAACGGACCCGACTGCAGTGTTGTTGTTCCGCGACGACCAAGTCCTCTGCAGACTCATTCGCAGGCTAGTCCCTTGGGTCATGTACCAAGTCCGGCGTATCCCATGTATAACAGTCCGTTGGCAACCATGTCGTCACCATCACCGTTGCAACAGCACGAGACCAACGGTAGTCAGTGTACTAATGGTGCATCATATAAGGGCGGAGTCACTCAACAAGTCGCTCCACCGTCACCTTTGGATGTCACCGTTCCCAGACCGGCATCTCAGGGACAGGTAGCTTACTCGTCGGTGATCACACGAGCATTGGGCACTACGGAAAATAACAAGACAGCTTACAGCGCGGAGAGTAAAACGTATGAGAGACAACAACAAGATTTTTCGCAAACGCAAAAGCAACAGGTCTGTTGGGAAAATGACAACCGGCAAACAGCAAACGGCACGAGGAAGTTTTCCGTCTATACTGGTGCGACGACGGCGACTAGCGACATAAATGCACAGAGCTTACCGGTCCAACAGCAAGTACAAAGGCTTATGAATGTATCGGTGGACAGGCAGCAGTCGTATTTCGAAGCTAATCAAGTGGCGCTGCAAGATTTAAGCAGCTGTAGGGGAGACCCAATGAGCATCGTAAAGAATTTACAAACGTTGCAGCAAGGCCCCTGCTTGCAACAACATACGACTGCCGCTACCTCGGTTGGTACGGCAGAACAAGAAAAGCAGGTTGAAGAACGGCGAAAAGCCGACAGCGTCAATAAAAAGAGGAAAAATTTGGAAAAGGGTGGACATGGCACGCCATTATCTAACGAGATTACGGGCGGTACGACAATGACGGAATACCTCAGTAGGATACCTCCGCCTGCGCACCATAACGCGGCGAATCAACAACAGCAAAACGGTTACTTCGAATTTGAACGGTGGAATATACCGCCACCGGCCACCAAGATGTTTCCGACCGCGTCCGCCGCCTTTGGTTCTCAGTCGTCGTTGCACCATTCGAGTAACTTCGTAGGCACTCCGGCTCATCAGCACCAATCATTAATGGTGTCGCATCATCATGCACCACCACCCATCCCATATTTTCCGGCTTTTCATATTCCCGCGGGTCATCACCCACATCACTCGCACGAATTTCAATCCTCGGTCGAAATAACGCCGATAGGATTCGGCGAAAACACCACAAACCAAAACACTACGTATAATCAAGAGGTCAGAGATGATCAGCCTAAAGTAATTGTTCCTAATATTGAAGAAGAATTAGGCTTTCTTCAACAAGACCAGCAACTGATGCAGAATATGAATCAAATAAATAAAGACTTTAAACGGCCCAACAGAGATCCTAATACGGGCTTTATGACGAGTTATTTAAAATTTTTGCAAGGTGAAAGGGACCCTTCTCCACCACCTGCTATACGTGGTGGTAGAAAAGCCACATGGAATAGGTCAAAACCGTATATACCTGTCGAGCCAAGTAAACCTGCGGAAGCTTCGAATGGTGAAAGTGTTAAACCTCAAGAAAAGCCGATCGTAGTAAAGGAGACGTCGGTTAAGGAAACACCGGCGATAGATTACGCTAATGATCCTAGGTATTTTCCGTTACCGAAAGAAAGGAAAAAATTAAATTTTGATTCGAGCGACGATGGATTTACTAGTGATGACGATTTTCCATTTCCTTCTAAGAAAATGGAAAAAAAGGTGCAGAATGCTAATAATACGAGTAATATTGAAATTGTTGCTGTTAAGCCGGAAGGAAAAGGTAAGAAAGGCCGGCCTATTAAGCCTGGTGGACCGACGGATAGGAAGAGAAGAGCTGCTGCGGCAGCAGCTGCAGCAGCAGAAGCAGAGAAGAAATCTTCGAAGAAAATTGAAGAAGGTAATATAAATATATCTATTATATAAATCTTGTTTTTTCAAGTTAGTACTTTACTCCTTTGAAAACATACATTGTTTTGCACAGTGGATCCTTTACTTCTTCCTCCCAGACGCGAAACATCAAGAAGAAAAGCAAAAGAGAAAACGTCAGTGAAACAATTTTTAGATCGACAACAAGGTATAGATTATTTTGATAATGATGAGGAACAGATAGATTCCGACTCCGATCCAGCATGGACACCTGCTGTAAAATTGGTTGGAGATGAAGAAGAGAAAAGGAAGAAACGTGCGAGACCCGTCATCACGAAAAAGATTAGGAAGATGCTAGAAGAGGATGGTTATTCGTCCGGGGAAGCTATTATCTCAAAGAAATCAACGAGGAAAAAGCATGAGACGCCCTCAAAAAATTCTAAAAGTTCCAGCAAACTTTCTTGCAGAATTGATGAAAAATTAGTAGCGGCGGCAAGTGACGAAGATATCGATATTTCGCCATTTAAGGTATCTAATATATTCTGCAAAGATCTTTTTGCATATTGTATTGGTCATATCTGATGAATAACAAATTAATAATCTTATCATATTTTGCATGCAGCATTCGATAGGCAACTCAGAAGACGCGGTAATCTTTAATATTATTTTAATTAAAATTTGCTAAATAAAAGAATACCTAAGCATTAAATTTGTTACACAAGAGGCTTATAATAATATCGTTGTGTAATTGAAACATATTATTGAATTCAACAGAAAGTAGTAATATTTTTCTTTACTTTCTAGTCTGGCGAATTTGTCGTGATCAAAACAGACTTGGATGAAGAAGAAGACCCTCCTCTTTGGAGGATAGATGGCAAAACATTACTCCAAAAATATCAGCCATTCAAATCCAGTGGGAAAACTTTATATAGAAACATACCTACGGTAAAATTTAATTAAACGTTTCAGAATACAAAGAATATCATTATTTTATAATTTTCATTCTTTTACAGTATTCTGCATGGGTTTCACAAAATCGTCACATATATCAACAAGTGCCGGTGAAATTCTGGCAACAAGGCAAGACAGAAACAATTGTAGAATTTTTGAGGGATGAAATGATCATTGATGACAGGTGAATATGTTTTAACCATTTCGACAAATTTTGTAAATTCTTATAACATTTCTTTCTATTTGATTATAGTGAGAACATCGATAAATTTATGAAAGAAACCGAAAAATATCAAGATAATTTTGAAGTATACATACAGACATTAATTTCACAAGCTCTGGATTCTAATTTTCTCACTGAAATATTTCAGGAACAAGGTAAATTGAACATAAACTGATATTTCTTATCATTGGTATGCATCATGATGAAATAATAATTATATATGTTTCTTATTATTGCTTAGATGATTATTTTCTATCAAATGTTAAGACTGTCGATGAAATAACAGAAGAAAGAAAACGTCGCCTTTTGTTCACAACCAAGTGGAAAACAAGTGTCGTGACGGCAATATCAACGTGGCCATGTGTTAACGTGCTTAAAGATCTGCTGCCATCAGAATATAAAGGGAAATTTTGTGCTGGTTGTCAGCAAGCAAAAATCTATGCAAGAGTTTTGCTTTATGGACAGCCATATAATGGTACTACATTAGAAGGCTCGCCACCCGATCCAAGAATACCTCACGAAAAAGTATGATACGCAAATTGAACGTGATACGATGTAATTTATTAGATTAGATTTAATCTATTAATTTTTACTTATTTTTATTCTTTCCTAGGACTTTTTGTTGTGCCGTATTTGTCAAAAGAAGGTGGCTTTGTATAATAAAGTCGCTCATCAAAAATATCTAATGTTCTTGGAATGTGCGAGAAGAGTAGCAGATAAAAAGGTAGCCGATCCGCATAAGGACACTACAATAATATTAAACGAATTATTAGCTGATGAAACATGGTTGAATCAAGTAAGTTTATTTTTATTTTCTTCAGTTATAATCTTAAAAGCCTTATTTATTGTCTTATCAATATCGTAAATTATAACAATTTAAATTCTTATAATAATATGTTGTTTTAAAAATAAAAAATAATAGTATAAAATAATAGTATTCTCTTAGACAAAGATAAACTTTTCTTTTTTAGCTTTTCAAAGAAGTGAGGAGTATTTGGGCTGAAATCGATAGCATGGAGCAGCAAGCCAAGGCTAAAGCAAAAGTGAAATCAAAAGCAGCACTGTCGTCATCAGTGAAGCAGTATCATAGAGCAGAGACAACAGTAGCAAGTGCTCCTATCGTACTTATGTCTAAAAGGACTGCTGATAATATTTCTGATTCACAGGTGCCTATACAGAATACCGAAAATAATCCTCAAACAATATCTAGTGACGTACAGATGAGCAGTGAACCATCTTAGTGGTATTATGATAACTGCTTATATCTAATACAAAACGCATCAATTAATTGTTCGGTGATACATTTAATAACACACGGTGTGAAATTTGTTACACCAATATCAATACCAATCAAATGGACGTCTTATTATGGTAATAATGAAAAACCTTGTATAGATATATACTATGAGATATGATCGAAAAGTGTAACCCAGAGACTATAGTTGTAAAAATTGTGTGCGTACGTGTTAGATAAATATGAGAGAATTCACACGTACACATGTGTAAGTACACCAAGCATATGTAACATATTCATATTTGGTACAGAAGTTTAGCTCTATCCGAGATTTTGCCATTATAGTATAATGATAGCATAATAATTATTATAGCAGAAACTGATATTCATGTGAATATAGGCAAATAATTTAATCTTTGTATCATGATCATCTTATACATAAGCTCCAATATATATTACGAGATCTGAAATGAGTTGAAATATTACGATGATATGCATCAAACGTCACAACTCTCTGTATCATATTTGCATCGCATTTTATTAAATCGAAAATACTATTCCTCTGTGGCACTATATTATTTTTCTGGGTATCTTACATAATTGTACAAAAACATTTTTTACAGAATAATTTACAATAATTATATAACATTTCAAATAATACGTATACACACACAGAATTTGTAATTGTTTAAATTTTGTCTTGCATATATATGTGTACACATAATTATATAGAAAAAGCAAGTACTTTGGTGCTACAGTAAAACCAAATTTACGCCTCCATTATTTCAAAACAAATGAAAATTTTTTTTAAATTTTGCAAAATTTTTTATCTATAAAAATGTCTACACTTTGTTACTTTCAAGGGAATCTTGCAAATTCCAAAATTCTGATTTTTATGAAACTTTACATGTGGAGAACGGGAAGGAATAGATGAATTTAGAAATTTTTAGTTGCGGCCCAAAAACGATTTTAAGGGGTAAGCCCTCATAGAGCGGTTTTTCCTTTTTTCGATATATCTCGAAAAGTATTCAAAACATTTTTTGATATTTCGTGGTTTCACCCTCTAGAATCCGTTTTTGGCCGCAACTAAAAATTTATAAATTTATTTAATCCCTTCTCCTCTCCCTACATGTGTGTAAAGTTTTATCAAAATCAGAATTTTCGGTTTACGAGATTCCCTTGTTAGTATGTTTTTAATGTGTCATATATTTCATACAATTGATACATTCAGTAGATATTTCTTTCAATGTGTCGTATTTTATACAATGATACATTCAGTAGATCTTTCTTCCAATGTAACATAATGATATATGTATGCAAATTCTTCCGTGTTAGAGCAATTTACATATAAATAAATTTGAATATTTTATACTGCAAAACGTATTTTGAAAGAAAAGATTGTATTAATGTTTCCATGTTTTTAATATTTTCATTACTATTCTATATTTTTCAATTATCACTAAGAACCTATTTTTTCCAGTATAACATCTATTAAAAATTTGCAACAATACGACATGTAAGAAATACTTTATTTCTTAAGGCAAAAAAAAATATATCTGAAATATATGTTAAGATCGATTCTTCAAGTACTTTCCAATAACTCATAGATGTTTTAAAATAGCGCGATAAGAATTTTGTTGTACATTAAATACATTACATATTTTAAGTGACATTGTGCTTATGATAAATTCAATTATTATTAATCATTATATTATTACATTATTATTGATATCATTGTTTAAATCTTTAACTGTTTAAGTTTTTAACTTGTTTCCAGATTTATTACAAAAAAAAAAAAGAATTCTTTAACGAAGTGATATGCATGTATGGAGTGCGAATGTATTTTTGAAGATATATCAAATTATATTTGTGTAAATTGTAAAGATATAATTGAGTGAGTGAGGATGATATAACTGCTGTGCGTATCAGCGAACTACAAGACAAGAATTATAAGCATCTTTCGTATATTTCGACGAATTGAAATTCGTATATTGATGATTATTCCGGCGACAATTGGTTGTATAATAAATTATCGGCTGGTTTATATTGAGAACTAAAATGCGGGCATTTTTGAATAGTGACACAGAACAATTAATAAATAAAGTATTATTAAATTTTAATCGATTTTAATCGATTAATAAATAAACTTATTTTCAGATGAAATAATTATTTCCCAAACGTTGAAAACATTACAGACACGTTTCCCAAATGGTTTCACGTTGATTAAAAAGAAAAAAAAATGTTTTTAAAATTGTCTGCTAACTATACGTTTAATTAACTTTTATTAATTATAAATAAACTATTTTCTAAACTATGAGAATATAATCCTAAATTTGCCCAAACACGTCCCACGTGCAGTAAAAAATAAAAAATATCATCGTTGTCTGCTAAGTACACGGAGGTCTTAATATGTCGATGGTTTAAATATAAAATATCAATCATCAATACTACATAAACTATAGAGTCTATGTATAAAGTTCTAAATTTTATCAATATGTTATAAACTCCCTTTCCCTTTCCCTCTCTCTCACAAAACAAATATATTTATATAAACATTAAAAATACAGTTTTGAGAAGTTAATATATTTAATTATCTCTGTGTTGATTTAGAATTATACAACGCTTTGATGGCCATGTATACTTTATTATAATTTTCGATAGGTCCAGTATGGCGACTTCTTTCAGTTGTGGGAGTTACTTTCTTTTCAAAGTTTGTCATATGCAATTGATTAACATGTGTGTTTTTATAACGTGTCTCAGTTTCACATTGTACATCTTTATCAACGATGAATGTAGTTTTTATACGATCTAATGCTTCTCCTAAAACAGTAATATAAATGTTATCTACATGAAAAACGAATAATACATACGATATACATGCATTATGATATTTACGCTCATTTTCATGAAGTATTAAATCATCAAAAAAAGCGATGTTTCGTATAAATAAATGAAATGAGTCTTCAATATCGGATGACCGAATAACAAAATCAGGATCACAAATTGCGAGGTGGCATAAAAATCTGATGCCTTGTCTCAATACTTTGTAATGAATCTTTTTAATATCAAACCAAAAATTACGATCCAACTTTTCTGAATATATTTCAGTCAGATGCTTCTCCATATTCTGTTTGTTACATTTCATCTGACATGCATGATCTTTGTAATTAATTCTCTTGAATATAAATTTTTTGGAAGCATAATATGAATCTTGCCATTCAATATTATCGATTATATCTAATTTGTTTTCAGAACATTTCTTTAACATATTAATTATAAATCGTAATAGTTTCGTATAACAGTTGCAAGATTCTGAACTTTCACTTCTTAATAAATTATTCTTCTGTAGAAGATGCCATACAGATGATATTAATGCATACGTCATGTTTACTGCAGTGAAAAAGTCTGGGTAAAAATGCTCCACTTGTGCCATATAAATTTGTAAGACACAAGCATCTGAAAAACAGAAACACTTTATAATTAGGCATGTTCCTTTAAAAAATAAAGTAGATTGTAAGAAAACGTGCGTATTTTCAGATTATTTACAAATGGCATAATATACCTGGTGTAAAGTGTAAAACTCCTTTCCATCTTTTTATCGTTATTAACTCTATTAAAATAATGATAATTAATATAAAAAAAAATTATTAAACATATCTGATATACTTACGCGAATTTGTGCAAAGTTTTGATACAAATACATTACATTTACTAAAGACCATTATAAAATTTGCTAATGAAACGTAACAAAGTGACAATGGCCTTGAAAATACAAGTTCTTTGAATATAAGATAAATATATTCTAATCTGAAAAAAAAAAAAAAAACGAATTTACATAAAATCTGTAAACATTAAAATAATCAACAAACAAGAATAATATTAATATACCCTTTATCACAATAACCCACTTTCTGTTGCACATTACACAGTAGTTTTATAATTGCATTTATAAGACCTGTAAATTGATGAGATCTCCTCTGCAAATAACATTTATCAATTAAAAATCATTATTTGATAAAAATTAATATTTTAAAGAATAAAATAATGTGTACTTACAACACGTTCTATTAAAGTGACACATTCCAGGATAATCTCGAGCATTTCAAATTCATAGCCCTTTTTTGACCATGTATTATAACGTGTCATTTGTTGCAGATAATGATTGTAACATTCATCACTGCGAGTGAGCAATTGTGACTTTCCTGCTATATAATTACTTAAGTATGATGACTCAATACTAATGTACGAAAGTATACCGAGCAATCTTCTAGCCTCGACACCACGTTCTCCTTCATGCCATGCATCTGCTTCACATTCAGATTTAATACATATGTTGTGATCTTTATAAACCATAGAAAAATATAAGTCATTCATATCCCGAATATCATCATTTTTCATAGCTTGAAAAATCGTTTCCAGAACTGTTATAACATTCAATATTAACTCTCTTGTAGTTAAAACCAGCTAAAACACATTATAAATAAATATATATACACACATACATATATACATATACATATATATAAAACACATGCATATGTACATGGGAGAAGGAGGAGGGAGAGGGGGAGAGACATAAATAAATCTATATACTTTTATCATAACTAATTTCATTGTAAATTATACTTAATACTTAAAGAAATTTAAATATTAATATGTTTGTATACCTTATTGATTATGGGTATACATCTTTCTGATTCTATTTCTGTATTAACTCTCCTTTCAATGGCTGTAATTTCAAGTAAAACAAATTCTGTTGTCAATCTTTTTCCATTTACTGTAGTAACTATTGGTTTTACTAATTCTGGATTTTCTACAACATAAATAAAATCTGTAAATATTAAAATAATCACAACGATAATATTGATATATCTTTTATCACAATAACCCTACTTAATATAACTGTATTAACATAGTCCTGTAGAATAATTTCATGACCATTATTTACCAAAAATTCTAAATGTTTCTTCTTCTTGCAAAATGGGTAAATTTCTCCTACCAGTCTTTTCTATGACTTTAACATTAACAATAGATTTTTCTGGTAATGACGCTCCAAAGATTAATTCTGAAATTCTTGCAAGTGGAATATCTAAAAAATGTTTTTAATATCACGAAATTATCGTAATAATATATCTTTTTTAGCTAGTTTTCTAATACACTCACAAGTATTATATGTCTTGAGTTGATAATCACTTTTCTTATAGACATTAGCTTGTACATATGCTTCTTTCACTTTTAGATTCTTATTTATGTTTGTAGTCCTATTAAGAGTACATATGAATTATATATGTATACTTTGAGTGCTAATTTTAAAAGTATCAAATAATTTGAGTTTTTACTTTTTTAAAACACTATCTTACCGATTTATTGGAGTGGTGTATTTACATTTATCAACAGAAGTGTTCATGTATAACATTTGTGGTTCTTTCAATTTAATATTCCCAGATTCTAACAATTTACAACGTTCCTGAAGATTTCCTATTTCTAGATCCTATATTGATACATAATGTTATCATTTACATTTATAAATATCAATTTTGTAATATAACAAGCAAAAAATAAATCTACAGTGTAACTACGGCAATCTCTTCGATTTGTTTAAAATTTACATATTTTGTATATTTTGGATCAAGAAAAAGATTTTGAGAAAGAAAATCATCGCTTATGTTTTGTTTGTTTATAATTAATACTTAAAATACCACATCGGTAAGTAAAGAAATGATAATTTATGAATAAATATTTCGCTTAGGATGTCATTATAATAGGTTTACCGTAATTAAATTTGAAATCAACATTTATGGCCCCCAACATTTGGTTAAAGCAGAAAATACTCTGTAATTTATGTTTTAGAAAACAGTAGAAAGCTCAAATACAGAGTAATCTCTGCTTTAATCAAACTGTTGGGGGACAAATATTTACCGTCGTATGACTTTTGATTCTAATTTGATTGTATATCGTAACGGTTCTATTTCTTTTATTATTATAAATATTTACTTTTCGAATTACGGTAATTTTGTACCCTAAGCAAAATATACATAAATTACCGAGTCTATACATAAAAAACCAAGTCTATATTTCCTTACTTACCAATTGTGATATTTTAAGTATTAATTATAAACAAATAAAATGTGAATGGCAATTTTTTTTCAGAAACTTTATGACTCAAAATATACAAAATATAGAAATTTCAAAAGAATCAAAGAGGGTGCCATTTTACTGCAGATTTGCCAAAAAAATATACTCACTTGTAATTCTAATTGTGTCTTTAGTTGTTCTTTTTCTTTATAAATTTTGTTAATCTCTGATCTATGACGATTGGCTTGTTCCTCAATCAAACGCATCTTTTCTAATTTCTCATTTTCAATTCGTAACTGAGTTTGTTGTAGTTGCTGCCGTAAAAATGCAGTTTCACCATCTTTAGTTATAAAGTCATTTAATAATTTTTTGTTTTCAGTTTTTAATTTTTCTAATTCTTTATCACCTATAAATATAAAACAAATAAGAATACTTTATAATTATTCATATTTTTATAACAGTAGTATTACCTTGTACAATAAAGTTATTGTCTTTCTGAAAAGTTGAATTGTAATCTTTTTTATCTATTAATTTGTTTCTGAACTGAGAATAATTAATCTCTGTTATATCTTGACTCGTACCCTGTATATTCTTTTTTAGCAATCGTAAGTTAGACTTTTCTATAGCCAATTTTGAACAAGATGTTTCATTATAAGCAATGGCAGTTGTTTTCTCTGGAAAGCTTGATTTCATTGAATTCAAATCATGTTCAAACAGTTTCAAATTATTTAGCAAGTTAGCTTCCTTAAAAGTAAAGATTTGAATTATAAATAAATTTTATAGTGCATTTTTAAACTAACCTTTCCTTAGTAATAATACCTGTACACAAGCTTGAGAGGCAATCAGATCCATTTCCTCAATATCTTCTTCGTCGAAATCGTCACCCCAAAGATCATCATTCTGAGCATTCCTATTTGTAGGGATCTCTTCCTGTGTTCTGCGATATTCCAGATTCTTATTAGGATTGTCGAATTTCGCTCGTTTCGCAGGCAAACGATAATCATCCATGATTGTTTCTTCAGACCGTTTAAACATCGTAATACGAAACTATCAAGATCATAGTATAAAAAGCAAATGATGAAGCTTGGTAATTATACAGTTTAGGGGCCTCACGTCAAATACCGATGGAATTATGCTCAATCGACGCGTTTTTGCGTGAAACGAAAGAATCTGGCAGAAAAAAGTGTCGCTCTGCCCCGCGAAGTGAGAGATATTTAGTTGCTTTCCATTTACAACAAAACTCAAATAATTCTCACTTGTGACGTCATAACTCAGTTAAATGCACATTCTTTTTGCATGCTGACAAGTGAGATTTAATTGAATTTTTATCTACAATCGAAACCATGTGCTTTAATGAATCTAATAAACTCATGTTAAAAGTGAGGCTATGGACCGTATTGTTATGATAGCTTTGTCACCAAAATAAGCAAAATGACATATCTTACCTAAGTACAAAATACTCACATAATATTGAGTAACTCAGATCACTTGAGTGTAAATGGAAAGCAACTTTAAACGTAAGTTGACAGAATCAAGTTATATGATTCCTGCCATACCAATAAAGGCCATCGCACACAAAAAGCGGGGAACACAACAGACTTTTGCATAAAGGCTCAGTAGGTGGAAGCACATAAAATTGCAGGAGCCATGAGCAGAAAGCAGAAGCATAGAGATATAAGAGAGTGCGCGAGCGAGCTGAAAAAGCGATATAGGAATAGAAAGAGAAAGCTGCGCAGAATAAAAAGAGAAAGCTGCGCATGGGCCCCTTCTGTCTTTGTTT